ACAGTCCAGTCCCAACCATTGTAAAAATTATCAACATCTAATTATTATATATCATATTTGTATCACCTATGTTATCTGTATATCATTTGTAAATCAAGAGACGCATTCCCCGATTATGTAATTGTATATTTTCAGCCTTCCGGCTGCCATGCTCTTTCAATAAACCGTTAATTATTATTATTATTATTATTACACCATCCGGTGTCTCCATGACCATATGAGGTCCTTTATATCAACACCTATGGACGAGTTACTGCACCACATCACCCGGTGTCTCCATGACCATATGAGGTCCTTCATATCAACACCTATGGACGAGTTACTGCACCACATCACCCGATGTCTCCATGACCATGTGAGGTCCTTCATGTCAACATCTACGGACGAGTAGGGTAAGAGACCAGCCCGGGCCTTCAACTGTAAGTTATAATAATTTGTATGTTCAATTCATGTGCCAACACCTTTTAGTAATGAAAGCTTTTGTCAAATTACCCACCCACCCCATGTCTTTGTATGTAATAAGTCATTTTTGTCTAATAAAATTTTCACCCTTCAGGCTGCAGTACTTTTTCAATAAACCGTTATGTATTATTATTAATATTATTATTACATGCACACACACCACCAACATGCAGGAATGTTGAAAAAGAACTGAAAACATTTCTAGAGTTGGGAGTACGGGAAAACATCTACTCGGGAAGTTTTTACTACCCGTATATTTAACTTAATTTCTCACATTGTTACTCATTTTTGAGTGCCTAATATTATAGTTAAAATACACTAGCCAAAATAAAACTTGTATGTTTATTGCAACAATACTTTTCATGCATATAGTCTTAAAATTCCTTTACAAATTTTAGTTGTTACTAAACTTGAATTTAATATTTTTAATTGTGCACCATTATTGAGAGAAGATAAACTAAACGGTAATCTTTTTTTGCACTGTATTGTGTGAGAATTCAAAATGTAATACTTACCAAAGTGTTTATCTTTAATGCATCAGCAACTGGAGTTTTAATATCATATGTAGTACAGGGACTAAAATAAGAAAAATAGAGCATGTTCCATAATATATACAAACAAAATATTAAGTTTTCTTTCCCATGTAATATTCACTCATTTGGTTTTGTTTTATTCTTAGTTTCAATTACAACAGCTAGTTTTTTCAGGGAGAGTAAACTCTTCTGGTTTTGTTGCTGGAAGGCCTCTCTGCTCTTCCTCGAATTTTGAGTCATTTCCTAATGCTGTTTTCTTTGATTCTAACTGCTTCTTTGACAGCAATTTCCTCTTATTTTCTTCCTGCTACAACCTCTTCTGCTTTAACATGCTTCTATACCTACTGCTGGAGAGTTTTATGTTCCTACCCATCATAGGGTCCCCCTCCTGGGGGACACACACACATGCCCTACAGCCCTGACCTACTGGGGACACACACACATGCCCTACAGCCCTGACCTCCTGAGGGACACACACACATGCCCTACAGCCCTGACCTCCTGAGGGACACACAAACAAGCCCTACTGAGTTGCCTATACAACTATGAAATATAGCATGGGTTATAGAATAAATTGTGATCATCGGGAAGTGTAAAATGATTATAGAAATTTAGTTATATTGAAAAATGCTTAGCCCTCAGCCAGTGGCAGTGGGGGAGGGTGGATCAAGTGGATAGGATGGAGGGGCATATTATAATGCTTCTAATAGTGGCATTGTATAATGTCATTGATCTTTGGTCAACAAAACACTAAAGAATAGAAGAATTGAATGCAAAACAAGCAATACTCAGCCAATGACAAATACAGTATATGATGTAATGCAAGAATTTGTAAAGAGTGGCCGCTATACTCAGTGTCCTGGCTCATCGTCCTGGCTCATCGTCCTCGCACAACAGACTTTATTGTCAAACATTTCTCTCATCATGGTTATACTAGCCCCCCCCCCAAAAAAAAATCTCAACAGGTGTACATGATTCATGTGGGTCGCCTAAAACGATAAAAAAATTATAATCTAGAAAAAATGGAGAAATCACATCCCTGAACATTGGAATTAACAAAGAAATGCATCCATAGCGATGGTGAAGACTGCAGTTGTGCTGTGTTGCTGGTTTAGGGCTTTGTTTTATAATATCATATTGTGAAGGTCTTATTGTATGACATAAATTTGTGTGTGGTTAATTGATGAACAGGCCTGTGACTGTGTGGTGGCAGCCTAAAGATCAGCTGTTGAGGAGAGCTTGACAACACTCCTTTCCACCCACACTTTTCTCCTTTTTCACTCCATATTTTAAAATGTTAAGTAATATAATGTTGAAGGGATACATCATCGCACACTTATACTTACACTCAATCTTGTGGGTAGACATCAGTTGTTCAGTAATGTCTGGCAGTGCTGCAGGCGGTATTACCAAACAAACTGATAAGAAACATCACCTCTTACCACAATCTCCCCCATCATCACCACTACCTCTATTATCATACCTAAATCATAATTTCAGTGATGCAAAGATGGATTAGCTTGAGCCAACTTCACAACAGAGCCATAATGATATCCACTGCCTCTCACCTGCCTGCCTACCTCCCTCCCTCCCACCAACCTACACACTGTCTCGAAAAACAATCATCACTACTATTAATCAAACAACAGTCTTTAATGATACAATATTGTTTATTTGTTATTCATTAGTTTAATTAGTGGAGATATGTTACTGTAACAATCTGTGTTTATTAATACCTGTACCGTCAGGCAGTCACACAACCAGACCCTCACTGGATGCTTGTTGTCTTAATTCACGTGGGGGTGTGTGTGTGCAAGTTCAAGGATTCATGGCAACACCCACAATCCAAACACTGGCATCTCATTGACTACATTATAGTCAGAGTAAGAGATCGCAAATATGTCCTCATCGCCCATGCCATGCGTTGCTCAGACCACTGAGACACTGATCATTGGAAGTCTTACAGTGAAAAACATTGCAGATTCATGAGCTGAGGTAAAAGAAACCAACATGAATGATATTTGGAAAAATTTCTGCCCACAATTTGTCCACGATTTCAGGGGCTTTGAAGTTGATGTTGGGGAAGTGACACAGACAGTGGTAGACCTTGGGAACCAACTCCAGCTTGATATTCCTGAGGATGATGTTACAGAGTTGCTTATGTCTCATGCTGAAGAATTAAGCAATGAGGACCCGATTAAAATGGAGAAGCAAATTTTGCCAGAGGAAGAAAGCTGAAACTCTAGAACCAAAGCGATTTGTTGCAAAAGAAATGGCAGAAGGTTTCAGGCTTATTGAAGAAGGATTGTTTAAATTTGAACAGCAAGATCCCAATACAGCAAGATTCACCAAGGTTCAAAGAGACTTATAAGGAAAAGAAGAAAGTTTCAGTTCAAACATCCCTTGAAAATTTTTTTTAAGAAAGTTGAAAGGCAGCCAGAGCCAGTCCCATCAACCTCTGCAGCATCCACAGACCAGTCCCATCAACCTCGGCAGCATCTACAGAACCAGTCCCATCAACCTCTGCAGCATCCACAGACCAGTCCCATCAACCTCTGCAGCATCTACAGAACCAGTCCCATCAACCTCTGCAGCATCCACAGACCAGTCCCATCAACCTCAGCAGCATCTACAGAACCAGTCCCATCAACCTCGGCAGCATCTACAGAACCAGTCCCATCAACCTCTGCAGCATCCACAGACCAGTCCCATCAACCTCGCAGCATCTACAGAACCAGTCCCATCAACCCCCGGCAGCATCTACAGAACCAGTCCCATCAACCCGCAGACCACAGAACCAGTCCCATCAACCCCCAGCATCCACAGGCATCAACCTCGGCAGCATCTACAGACCAGTCCCATCAACCCTGCAGCATCTACAGACCAGTCCCATCAACCCCGGCATCTACAGAACCAGTCCCATAGTCCCATCAACCTCTGCAGCATCCACAGACCAGTCCATCATCACCAGTCCCTCGGCAGCATCTACAGAACCAGTCCCATCAACCTCGCAGCATCTACAGAACCAGTCCCATCAACCTCGGCAGCATCTACAGAACCAGTCCTATCAACCTCTGCAGCATCCACAGAACCAGTCCCATCAACCTCGGCAGCATCTACAGACCAGTCCCATCAACCTCGGCAGCATCTACAGAACCAGTCCCATCAACCTCGGCAGCATCTACAGAACCAGTCCCATCAACCTCGGCAGCATCTACAGAACCAGTCCCATCAACCTCTGCAGCATCTGCAGAAGCAGTCCCATCAACCTCTGCAGCATCCACAGAACAACTCCAGAAGCAGATAATTCTCCAGAACCAACCCTGTTAACATCATCATCATCTTCAGTTTCACCCCAATAAAGCCTCTGTCACTCCTATAAAAGCTCATCTCTACATGCAAGGCAGCTCCTTGCTTCAATGTAAGAGTTAAAATTTTAATCAATACTTTTCTTTACTGTACTTTGTCATTTAATTTCTTCTTTTCTCTTACATTAGGTGATTCGAGATTCATAAAAGGACTTGGGCTATAATATAGTGCACATAAGGTATGTTTTCCGACTTATGTACATTTCCAACTTAAGGACAGCCTCAGGAATGGAACCTGGGGACCCCCTATATACTGTATGGATATTGTTGAAATATCAGAAATGTAAATGTGTGGTATGAAAAATTGCTTCAGTGAAAAAGGAAAAAAATGACAAGGACCGTGAGTGTTAATCACACGTCTGGCAGTGTGTCGGCAGCACCATCTTTCTTATAATTGTTCGTCCGAGTTTTATATTGTTTTAGGCTTAGTTTTATCTTTTACCATAAATCCAATAGGAAAAAATTTATTGGACAATGTTTATTAAATTATTTGGCTATTCTTTATATATTCATAAGTTTTCTAAGAGAATAAAGGAAGTCTGCATGTAATTAGGTAAATATGTACAGTATCAAGGAACCGCCTTAGGGAGGGGATAAAAGAGCCCCCACGTGCACCAGGTAGGGTTAAACTGGCATGATTTTTCAAAAATTTTATTTTTCTCTAAAATTCACATTCTACACTTATATTACAAGATTCTTCCACACAGTATGTGAATCATTAGTTTGAAAAGAATTATCATTAAAATTAAAAAAAATTATTAACCAGCATGTCAGACCTATTTGGTTTCAAATATGAAAATACCTTAGTTATAAGAGCATTTTTCTAACACATTTTACAGATTTTTTTTTTAACACCCAACTAATGTTTTAAATTGTAATAATATCCCTGCCAGCTGAAATCTCTCTTACCCAGAATTAAAATTTGCTCAAGGAGTGTACAGTATTTTCTGGAAAATTATGAGAAAACTTTCCCGGTACCTGGAAAAAGTCCAGGGATGGAGGATCTTTTCTGGGTTTGAGAGATGAAATAATGCGTCTCTGGAAAATTCATAAAAAAATTCCAGTACTCAGAAAAATTACTGAGAAACTTTTCCCTTTATCCAGTACCCGGAAAAATTTTGAGGATGGGAGATTTTTCCGAGTTTGAGAGTCGCCTCGTTAGCCAAAGTGTTCTAAACAAATCTTTCCGTCTAACAGAGATATCATTGTATTTAGTCTCATTACTTTCTACAAGAACAATATTTTTGTTTTTTAATAACAAATATTTTTGATAAACAAATTTACCAATGAAGTGTCAATATTTAATTATGACAGTTTCATGCAGTTGTATTGAGAAATAATGGAAATTCCAGATACAGTAACTTTTTGATTAGGGAAATGCTGGATAGTAAACCTTATACTGTATTGAGGTACTTTTATTTATTAACCCTCAAAGAAGTTCAGTCACCTAAAAATTTAAATACAGGGTACAGTACATCTAATGAGGAAAAAAATACATATTGTACAGTACTTAAATCCACTAAAACCTAAGAGCTTCTCAGTCGAGTTATTTATTTACAAAACAACTGGATACTTGAACCTGGCCGCTGCTTCTTATTGGCTTCTAACTGGGAGAAGAATTCACGTATGTCCTCATCTCGCACCACCTTCTTATTCTCGGCAAACTTACGCAGGTACTCTCGGAGGGATGAGCTCAGGGTGTTGTATTCTGGTTAAAGAAAAATTTACCTGTAATTGCTGTACTGTATCATGATTTACCTAAAAAAAGATTCACTCAATTCAAAAATCATTCACACAATTTATAGTTTCATGTACATACTATGAATGCCTGTGGCAATCACGTAAGATATACAGTGTACACTGAACCCTCACAAATTAAATAACTATTGTTGGGGCTATGGGTATCAAATCAGCCCAAAATATAAATTTATCCAAACAGCTTAAAATAATCACCTCAATTTTGTAATTTTTTGACGCACTAAAACTTTGCAAACCATTTAAAATTGTCTTTATACACAATAATAACAGTTAGCCGGAATCCCCCAAACCCAGAACTCTCCAATAGCAGGAATTGAAATTTGCTCGGAATTTTACCGGAAAATTCCCTAAATGAAGTTGTTCGCAGTCATATTTCCCACCTTTGCAAACGGTCGTGTAATATTTCAATGTGATTCTGATCTTTAAAATGTTGTTTTTGCATAATGTAGTATTACTGATACGTAATTTGTCATAGTAGGCCTATCGTGGGTAAAAATAAGTATATATTAAATGCATCTTCCGAAAGCGTGAATTTGCTACCAGAGTTTAACAGTTAATTCATATATAATACTCTGATAAACTTCCTACATGCTTATGTTTGAAATAATGAATGTATGTATCGTTATATAATTTAGTTAATTATCTTTCTCGTCAAAAATGGTCATTATGAATAAACTCATTTAGAAATACATCATTACTTCAGGACAAAATCGGACAGGTTTACAACAGCCAATCAGCTGTAAATTTTGACGAGGGGGCAGGGCATCTTTTCTCAGCTGGGAAAAAACGCGCTATAGGAGCATAACCTTATCTTCTCAGGGCATAGAGGTTAGCACTCTGTCGAGGTTGGCGTCATCCTCTGCATTGATGAAAAAGGCATGACGTAAGTTATTCAGTGGGACTCGGAGTGTCATGAAGCACTCGTTGATCCCAATAGGCATTTCAGTTAGCCAGTGCAGGATACATTGGCAGATGGCAAAGCCAACTTCATAAATGCGGTTTCTGTCTGCAGCCGGCTTACCCTTCCAGAAGGTAAAGCCAGACCCCTGCTCTGTGAGTTGACCCTCGTCTGGGAGCTGGGACTCACTAATGGCTGCTATGTCAATGCCATAAGGGCAGTTCTTCTTCCAGGACGCCCATTTGTGCCAGTATCCAGAAGGATTCTGACATTCCATGCAGCAACCGCACAGAACTGATTTTTATTTGCTTGTATTTATTATATATTCTCGTATTATCAGCCTCTTATGGTGTATGTTTTATCATTGAAAATATAAAATATTAAATACTTCTATACTGAAAATACTTTTTATTTATTGATTTTTACGGGGAAAAACCTGCCTGGACACAGGTCATCAACCCACAACGGTGGCTGGGGGGCGAGAAAATAAGATTAAAAAGAAATTAAAAATAGAAGAGAAAAAGACTATTAATCCACACCACAAAGATGCCAGAAAACCAGCTTTTTGAAGTGAGACAGGTTGTATGAGTATGAAAACAACATTTTGGCTGTGTGAGGAAAGAAGGATATACAAGGGGGCAAATTTGAGGGCTAGGTTCTCAAAATGGCGCAAATCGCCAAATCCGCGAATAACATTTCCTGACTGGGTGGGGGGACATTTTTACTTGTGTACAAAGAAATGTATATTCCCTTTATGTGTTTGCCCTTAGGACAATTATTTCTTTTACCTGTATTGTGTATATGTGTAGACACACACATACACACACACACACAAAACACATACAAATAAATAATAATGGGAAATCCTCTCACAAATAATCATAAACAAATTTATTAATAATGTTAGTCTACCCTCAAGTCCGTGCTTCATTAATGAAGCACGGACTTGAGGGTAGACTAACATTTTTAATAAATTTGTTTCTGATTATTTTAGAGGATATTTCCCATTATTATTTAATTGTACGTATGTGTTTTGTGTGTGCATGTCTCTACACACACACATTAACAATACAGGTAAAGGAAATTACTGTCTCTAGAACGAATGGCTTCCTGTCCCAGCCGTAAAAATGCTGACAGCTTTAAAACTACCCACAGACATTCTTGGGCACATCCAGGGTGTCATCCGCAAATAATAGAGGACAGCGAAATTAAAATCCACGAATTTGGGCGGCCCCCTGTACTATAATGGGTTATTTTAGTGTGCCGATATCCAAACAGAAACAGTGGGCTGGACACAGCTGGCAAAACAAGTGTTACGAGCCAACGGTCTTGCCGGCGGTACACACGATGCCAAATCCACCAAACATTGCCCATTAAAGTACCTGTAAAAGAGAGAGAGTGAAGCAACATTGCGGCAAAGAGAAAGGGAAAAAAGATTATCAACTAAAGGAGGAGAGTTAATGACACAAAATGCCTTTCATTCCACCCTATCTAACAGCTGGACAGAAGAGTACAGGGTACTTTATTAATGAAATAATTTTTTTACTTCTACTGAGTACATTTCACTTTGGATACTTTTACTTCTATTCGAGTAACATTTTGCCAATGTAACAATACCTTTAGTTAAGTAAGAGAGTCCAGTACTTTTTACAACTCTGCATAGCACCAGGAATTGCTGGGTCCTGCCACCAGCACACCTTCTAACTACTGATCGGGTAGTTTAGCAGCTCAAACAATTTTGAAACAAGATAAATATAGTTATGAAAATATCATCTAGGACTGCATGGCAACCAGTCTACCTAGATGTAAGAGTACAAAACATGTTAAAAGAACTTAAGTGCCAAAACCATAGCCCAAACCAGGAAAGTGGTCATGACTCTTAGCACTTTGCCAAAGCTGACAACTGCTACATTGAAGTAATTTCATTTTTAGGGTTATGGTTGTTCGGAGATATACCACTTTCTGGTTCTCTGGAATTCATTCTCAGCCACCCACATGTGGGGGTCCTGGAAACCTGGGTTGTAAATCCAGTTAATATGATGAATGTACAGGAGTCCTTCAATATTTTTACAGGTCATAAAACACAGTACTGTAGTTAACTGTCCCATTTCATCAACTATCTAGTATATAAATCTATAAACAACAAACTTGCACACAAGTCTCAATTGATGAATGATAACTAACTTACCATGAACCATCTCTGTGCGAGTGACACGATCGAGTGACGATAGAGCTTCCAGTTCTCTCTGCACATCAGCACCAGGATTCCGATGATGAGATTTCCCACTTTCTTCATAAAAAGATACAGGGTCCTCATCATCAAGTAAAAAGAGAACCCCTCTTGCTTCATACTTGGCCTGGAAACAATATTAAATCCAAATAATTATCAAGTATATATCCCATGATTAGGAATATTTTGCACTCTGTATCAGAACATATTATACTAAACTGCACAATTACCAGAAAAATCTAATAAAAAATTTGAGGAGATATACTGGGTGATAGCAAATGATGTTCCTAATGCTAAACACTAATGAAAAACTAATAGAACTACAGCCAAGGGTAAAGTTCCATTTTACAGCAACACAAGTTCAGTATAAAAGTGCCTGTAGTGGTTGCAAAGCCAATTTTTTGATGCACAACATTTATTGAAAGTATATATATATATATATATATATATATATATATATATATATATATATATATATATATATATATATATATATATATATATATATATATATATATATATGTATATATATATGTATGTATATGTATGTATGTATGTATGTATGTATGTATGTATGTATGTATGTATGTATGTATGTGTATGTATGTATGTATGTATGTATGTATGTATGTATGTATGTATGTATGTGTATGTATGTATGTATGTATGTATGTATGTATATATATATATATATATACACCTAGACCCCGACTTACGACGGGGTTAGGGACCCAAATCCAGGTCGTAAGTCCGACATGGTCGTAAGTCCGACATAGATAAAAAATTAATAAAAAATCTACAATGAAATACAGTACAGTAAAAGTAATGAATAATGATGAATGGATACAGTACAGTGAAAGTAATAAATAATAAGGAATGGATACAGTGTGACTGAGCACTTAACCTTTAATGTAGTCAGCTGAATGCACATGGGGCCCCCATAATTTTCTAATTATACATGGAGACTACATTAACTGGAAACGTTTCGGTATAGAAAATGCGTGTGTCATTTAAAAAAAAAAAATTTTTTTTTTTTTTTTATCTATATCTGAGGCGGTCGTAAGTCCACGTAGTCGTAAGTCCTGGTCTAGGTGTATATATACACAATCATCAACACCTCAACCCGCCAGGATTCGAACCCACAGCCCACGAGCCCATGACTGTGACCGGGGAACGCTACCTCTGGACCACCAGGATACTAAAAGCAGTCCTAGACTGTTATATTTCACACAAAGCCTGTTCAATGAGCTTAAGGTGCAGCTGTGTGTCGTGGGAGTGCTACAGTGTGGCGTGGAAGTGCTGCTACTGTGTGCCATACCAGTAATGTGTGTTTTGATTATTAAATAGTTAAGTCCACCCTTACATGTTGTTAATACCAACCCTATTATTCTATTGGAAATAGCATAACAACAGGTACTTCATAATTTAACTGTCTTCTTGCTTTTGAGCCATGGGATAATGTAAATTAAAGTGTAAAACTTAGTGGACTGTGCAGAATGCCAATCAAATCCACCTGATCAGCGGTGCTAGCTTTGAATGTTTTGTTTTGGTTGTGCTCTGCACCGTCAACTACAGTGGGTATTTTGCTTTGTTAGCATATGTAAATGGAGGTTGTGTTTAAACTTTCATTAGGTTTTCCTTAATGGTTTTACAGTAGAAACAGTTTTTTTCTTCATCTAAATAGACCAATATACAAAGGTTGCTTGAAGTAACACAAAAGAGGAGCTCCAGACCATAATATGCCAAGTGTCAAAATAGAAAAAGAAGGAAAATGCTCGGGTAGGAATGTGTAACATCCAATAGTCTTTTCAGAGAACTTTCACCCACATGTACATGTTCCCAATTAGCTCTCTGAAGTACCCAGGGGACAGAGGAGAGGTTGGGGAATACAATGCAATAAATAACAAGTTTCAGCAACATATGGCTCTTAGCAGGTTATAGTTCGGAGCTCCTCAATTGTTAAACAAGTTAAGAAAGTTTAGAGGTATGGTATATGAATGCTTGGAAAGGAGGTACAGAGTTGTGAGTTTGCTTCAGTCTTTTGACTTACCATATTGCCCAATATTTTATAATATTCCTTATATGTTTCAGTAATTTATATAAGTTTTGTATTTGTTATAGTAATGCAAAATATGAAATAGTAGATTTATTTTGGGGTTCATTAGGGGATTGCATGTAACACTAGGTATATCTAAATGTTGAGAGTAACCATCCATTTCCCAACAATATTGGGTAATATGGGCACATAAGATCATGGAGTTTTTTTTTTTGGTGGTGGTGGTGGTGGTGGTGAGGTGTTGCATCTTATAGGTCAGCAAATAAGGTATTTTGTACCGGAGGGGAAAACTCAGATATAAATTTTTGGGTCTCCATTTCCCTTTCATTAACAACAATAATTAATTCTCCATTGTACAGTATATAGTACAGTACTGTATACTTCTTTCTATCTTGATAGGCGGACGTTCTGGAATGTTACCCGGGCACGCTGGTCGGAGATTTTGGAACGTCACCTGGGGCCTAAGGGTTATACATCAGCTAATGTAAACTAAAGAACAGGTAACTTACTTTGCATTCATCACAGGTACAGAGTTGTTTTCTCCATAGATATGGTAAGAATACAGCACCACTTGGCAGATCTTGTTTTTTCAGGTCATTCAGTTTACAACCTAGAATAAGGTTTACTTACATTAGACAAATTAAAAAAATAAAAATAAATAAAAATGTGCTACAGATAGACTAGGTACAGTAAATATTAAAAGTAAAATAACAAAGAACAGTTAACCTACATATTTCATCTGATGTCCAAAACGCGAGTCTACACTCAAGTCCACCGTGTGCTTCGTTATTAACCCTCTCAGCCTCGCATGATGCCATTGTGGCGTTGAACATAAAAGGTGGCGTCCAATGGGCTATAATTTCAAATAACTCAAAAACTATTCAGTGAAACTGGCTGAAATTTAGATGCCATTTGACAGACGTTATTTTCTTTGTGTGGGCCTTGTTACCTTCCCCAAGACAGTCTTGGTCATCATGTACGTGGCAGCGCAGCATGAAGCCAGTGTAGCTTTGGCCATTAGAGCTAGAGGAGGGTGCACTGCTCGGCCCTTTAATTATTCCATGATTTTTTGTGTTATATTACTTTTCCTTATACAGTAGAACGTCGATATAACACGAGATACGTTCCAAGAGAGGTCGCTTTAAATCAAATTCGCACTAAATCCAAGTGTTATTTCAATGGAATAATTTAGTTTGGTACTTGAAACACAAAATACTAAAACGACTACCCAGATGCACCTCAGCCCATCTCTTAGAGTAAACAAAACATTGTTTTTTGTAGTATTATGTTAAAACAAACACTTATATATCAACACAGCTAAAATTAAGGGATGTGAAATGATCTGTTTTCTAGTGATCAGTTGATGCCAAGGTCCAGTGCTTATTTATTTTTGTCCTTACGTGTGACCAAGTTTTTCTCTTATAAAATGTCACTAACTGACCTGGGAAAATATAATTAACATTGCTGGAATTCTTATAAGATAGTGATTAGTTTGAATATAAACATGCTATAGTTTGCATTAGACATACAAATTTTAGTTCTAATTACAAATAGCTAAAATTTTTATCTTTTGTGCAAAATAGATGACGTTAATATTCAAATTATTCGCTGTCTTGTGAGGATTCCAGCAATGCAAATTATATTCTCCTAACTTTAGACTGTGATATTATATAAGATAAAAAATCAAAGCCTATAATCACCCAACCCTGGCTTGGAAGTTGGGGGAGGGGGGAGGAGGAAGGGAGGGTGTCAGTGACCAGTGGTGGGCACAGCTAAACGAAAAGTTAGCTTCGCTAACCGCTAACTAAAAAGTTAACTTCGCTAACGCTAAACACCTAAAATAAATAGCGGAATCGAACGCTAACTTTTATTATATGAATTTAGCTTTTTTTAGCTCTAAAACCCTTAAAAACAGACCTAGAGAGCTGAAATTTTCATATGTTGTCTTGTAGCTTAGGCATAGAGCTTTCCAAAAAGGCATAGCATGCCAAGATCAGATGATGATCAAGGTGTACACAAATAATTAAATGAACAAATGAAATTAAACATTAGTTTACATTCAAGTTTCAACATACACTTTATAATCTTTATTTACTGTACGAAAAGACAGAAAGTATTAAACGAATCCAAAAACTATAGTACTGTATAGCATAGGTAGCAAATAGCTTCATGGCAAGATCAGATGATCAACTTATCAAGATGTACACTGTACACAATTTCACAAATGATTAATTTGCATTCTCATACAACCTATCGGCCTTATTCATTATTAATGTAAATATGCAATACCAACCACATGCACATTATACCAGTGCATTTTTATATAACTTATTGTTGGTCTTAGTCATGTAAATAAACAGAAAACTCTAAACTTTAATGAAAAGTAAGTTTTTAGAAAATTTTGTTTGGTGCACACCTTGGATGACATCCTGGTTATGAACTTATGCAGTACTTGGCATAACCAAATATATTGACACAAAAAAAATCCTAATTAAATTAACAAATAAATGAGAAATGAAATTATACATTAGTTTACAATTACATTCTCTGATTCTTTCAGCATACACTGACAGTCTTTATTTACTGAAAAAAAAGTATTAAACTTTAATAATCAAAAAATTCCATTCACTCCGGCTGCAATGGCTGGGCCTTCTCCATCGCCTCAACGTGATACTGGTTGCCCTTCATAAACACCAGCCTCTCAAAGTTGCCACCTGACAGGGTGACTCTCTGGGCCCTCAAGATATCTTTGCACGTACTAACACGCAGTCAGCCAAGTGTGCCTGACTGGCCGTTGGAGACACGCGACGTCACACCTTACAACAGACAGGAACAAACATGTATAAATGTTGTTAGTGGACTTAAGGTTAGCAGAACCAAATTTAGCGGAAGCAAATTGGTCCGCTAATGGTTTCCAAAGTTAGCGAAAATGCTAATCCGCTAATGAGAAAGTTAGCTTCACTAATTAGCGGAACCGTGCCACCACTGACAGTGACATGTTTGACAGTTGGCGCCGAAGGTCTAGTGAAGTATTTATTTGTTTATTTATGTCCTCTAGATTGAGTTTTGTTTTTGTTTATAAAATGTCACAAGTGACTGGGGAGAATATAATTTACATTGCTGGAGTTCTTATAAGATAGTGATTAAGTTGGTTGTGGTGGTAGTAGGTGAATGATGGTTGTGGTGGTGGGTGAATGATGGTTGTGGTGGTGGGTGAATGATGGTTGTGGTGGTAGTGGGTGAGTGTTGGTTGTGGTAGTGGGTGAGTGTTGGTTGTGGTGGTGGGTGAATGATGGTTGTGGTGGTGGGTGTGTTAGTGGTGGTGGGAGTGTTGGTTGTGGTGGTGGTGGGTGAGTGTTGGTTGTGGTGGTGGGTGAGTGATGAGTTTGTGGTGGTGGGTGAGTGTTGGTTGTGGTGGTGGTGGTGAGTGTTGTGGTTGTGGTGGTGGGTGAATGATAGTTTGTGGGTGGTGGGTGAGTGTTGGTTGTGGTGGTGCTGGTGAGTGTTGGTTGGTGGTGGGTGAGTGTTGGTTGTGGTGGTGGGTGAGTGTTGGTTGTGGTGGTGGGTGAGTGTTGGTTGGTGGTGGGTGAGTGTTGGTTGTGGTGGTGGGTGAGTGTTGGTTGGTGGTGGGTGAGTGGTGGTTGTGGTGGTGGGTGAGTGTTGGTTGTGGTGGTGGTGGGTGGTGTTGGTTGTGGTGGTGGGTAGTGTTTGGTTGTGGTGGTAGTGGGTGGTGTTGGTTGTGGTGGTAGTGGGTGGTGTTGGTTGTGGTGGTAGTGGGTGAGTGTTGGTTGTGGTGGTGGGTGATGTTGGTTGTGGTGTTAATTGGGTGGTGTTGGTTGTGGTGGTGGGTGAATGTTGGTTGTGGTGGTGGGTGAATGATGGTTGTGGTGGGTGGTTGTGGTGGTGGGTGAGTGTTGGTTGTGGTGGTAGTGGGTGAATGATGGTTGTGGTGGTAGTGGGTGAATGATGGTTGTGGTGGTGGGTGAATGATGGTTGGTGGTGAGTGTTGGTTGTGGTGGTGGTGGGTGAGTGGTGGTGGTGGGTGAGTGTTGGTTGTGGTGGTGGTGGGTGAGTGTTGGTTGTGGTGGTGGTGGGTGAGTGTTGGTTGTGGTGGTGGTGGGTGGTGTTGGTTGTGGTGGTGGTGGGTGGCGTTGGTTGTGGTGGTGGTGGGTGGCGTTGGTTGTGGTGGTGGTGGCGTTAGCGGTGTGGTGGTGAGTGGAGTGGCGTTGGTTGTGGTGGTGGTGGTTGTGTAGTGGTGGTGGGTTGGTTGTGGTGGTGGTGGTGTGGTGTTGGTTGAGTGTTGGTTGTGGTGTAGTGGTGGTGTTGGTTGTGTGGTGGTAGTGGGTGAGTGTTGGTTGTGGTGGTAGTGGGCTGAGTGTTGGTTGTGGTGGTAGTGGGTGAGTGTTGGTTGTGGTGGTAGTGGGTGAGTGTTGGTTGTATTGTGGTGAGTGGTGAGTGTTGGTTGTGGTGTTGAGTGGGTGAGTGGTTGTGGTGGTAGTGGGTGAGTGTTGGTTGTGGTGGTAGTGGGTGAGTGTTGGTTGTGGTGTTGAGTGGGTGAGTGTGGGTTGGGGTGTGATGGTAGTGGGTGATGTGGTTGTGGTGGTAGTGGGTGAGTGTTGGTTTAGGGGTGAGTGGGTTGTGGTGGTGTGGGTGAGCACAGGTGTGTGGCAAGTTGTGGTGGTAGTGTGGTGGTGTTGGGTTGTGGTTGTGGTGGTAGTGGGTGAGCTGGTAGTGGGTGGTGTGTGGGGTGAGCCGCTGTCAGGTGGTGGTAAGAGTGGGTTGTGGTGGTGGTGGGTGAGTGTTGGTTGTGGTGGTGGTAGGGGTGAGTGTTGGTTGTGGTGGTAGTGGGGAGTGCTGGGTTGTGGTGTGTGGCAGTGGGTTGTGGTAGGGTGAGTGCTATTGTGGTAGAGTGTTGGGTTGGGTGAGTGTTGGTCGTGAGTGTTGGTTGTGGTGGTTGTGTGAGTGGTTGTGGTGGTGGTGGGTGTTGGTTGTGGTGGTGGTGTGAGTGTTGGTTGTGGCGTGGTTGTGGTGGTGGTGGGGGTGAATGAGTGGCTTTGGTGGGTGTGTATGGGTGTATGGTGTGTAGTGAGTGTGTGGTGGTGGGTGAATGTTGTGGTGGTGGGTGAGTGTTGGTTGTGGTGGTTGGTTGGTGGTGTGGGTGTGTTGTTGTGGGTGGTCGTGTGAGTGGTGTGTGAGTGTTGGTTGTGTGGTGGTGTGGTGAGTGTTGGTTGGGTGAGTGGTTGTGGTGGTTGTGGGTGAGTGTTGTTGGTTGTGGTGGTAGTGGGTGAGTGTTGGTTGTGTGTGCAGGGGTGAGTGTTGGTTGTGGTGGTAGTGTGGTGTTGGTTGTGGTGGTAGTGGGTGAGTGTTGGTTGTGGTGGTAGTGGGTTGAGTGTGGTTGTGTGGTAGTGGGTGAGTGTTGGTTGTGGTGGTGTGTGAGTGTTGGTTGTGTAGTGTGAGTGTTGGTTGTGGTGGTAGTGGGTGAGTGTTATTGTGGTGGTAGTGGGTGAGTGGTTGTGGTGGTAGTGGGTGGTGTTGGTTGTGGTGGTAGTGGGTGAGGTGAGGTTGTGGTGGTGAGTGTTGGTGAGTGTTGGTTGTGGTGGGTAGTGGGTGAGTGTTGGTTTGGTGGTGGTGGGTGAGTGTTGGTTGTGGTGGTGGTGGGTGAGTGCATTGTGGTGGTGGTGGGTGAGTGTTGGTTGTGGTGGTGGTGGGTGAGTGTTGGTTGTGTGGTGGTGGTGTGAGTGTTGGTTGTGTGTGGTGGGTGAGTGTTGGTTGTGTGGGTGGTGGGTTTGGTTGGGTGAGTGTTGGTTGTGGTGGTGGGTGAGGTTGGTTGTGCGTGAGTGTTGGTTGTGGTGGTGGGTGGAGTGTTGGTTGTGGTGGTGGGTGAGTGTTGGTTGTGGTTGTTGGGTGAGTGTTGGTTGTGGTGGTGGGTGAGTGTTGGTTGTGGTGGTGGTGTGAGTGTTGGTTGTGGTGGTGGGTGAGTGTTGGTTGTGCGGTGGGTGGTGTTGGTGAGTGTTGGTTGTGGTGGTGGGTGAGTGTTGGTTGTGGTGGTGGTGGTGGTGGTTGTGGTGGTGGTGGGTGAGTGTTGGTTGTGGTGGTGGTGGGTGAGTGTTGGTTGTGGTGGTGGGTGAGTGTTGGTGTGGTGGTGGTGTGTGAGTGTTGGTTGTGGTGGTGGTGGGTGAGTGTTGGTTGTGGTGGTGGTGGGTGAGTGTTGTGTGGTGGTGGTGGGTGAGTGTTGGTTGTGGTGGTGGTGGAGTGTTGGTTGTGTGGTGTTGTGAGTGTTTGGTTGTGTGTGGTGGGTGAGTGTTGGTTGTGGTGGTGGGTGAGTGTTGTGTGGTGGTGGTGAGTTGTGGTGATTGTTGGTTGTGGTGGTGGGTGAGTGTTGGTTGTGGTGGTGGGTGAGTGTTGGAAGCATAATGTGTTGTCTAATGGTAGACCCTGCTGCTATATGGCATCACGAAAATTGTGACCAAGTCCCAGGTCGCTGATCTGTCTTTCTGCCTCATTTACACACAATTGCAGGGTCTCAATTGTTTCTCTTACATTGACAACACAACATACATTACTGTATATCATTTCTCACTCTTGATTTTGTTTTAATTTTCATATTTATTTATGGCTCTACAGTATTATTATTTTTATTATTATTTTATAATTTGTATTTTTTATTATAATTTATACTTATTTTTATTATTATTATTATTATATTTTTGCTCCCCAGGCCCCAATGTGGGTCAATGAACTGTGCCCTGGTGGGCTAATCCTGTAAAAAAAATAAAATAAATAAATAAATTTATATGTGTGTGTGTTGCAGACACACACAAAACACATGCAAATAAATAATAATGGGAAAATCTTCTCACAAATAATGAGAAACAAATGTATTAAAAACGTTGAGTCTATGCCGTGCTTTATTATTAACAAAGCACGGAGTGGACTTGAGGGTAGACTCAACATTTTTAATACATTTGTTTCTCATTATTTGTGAGAAGATTTTCCCATTATTATTTATTTGCATGTGTGTGTGTGTAGTGACTACACATACAGTATATACAATACAGGTAAAGGAATTTACTGTCTCTTAGAACGGATGCATCAAATTTTGATGCGTCATAGTAACAAGTAAGTTCTATCTAATGAATTAATTGGCAACTGTTGAGGCCTATGGGAAGGGAAGACCAGACAGATAAATGCACAGTATTATCTCAGCACTCAGACTGCGAGAGTGAGCCGCGTCCATAACCCCGTGCAGGCTGCCTCAACTCCTGGATTACAGTGCTTACCCTACTCCCTGAAATAATTTATATTTGGTGTTAGAGAAGTGAAGTGATGGTTGTGTAATGTAATATTTTTTTTATATTGACAGAGGAAGTGTTTAGTTTTCAAAAGCAGTTACCGTATCAGGCTATACAACCTCGTTATAGTGACAGTGTCTTGAACAAGTCTCTGAAAGAGGATGATTTTTTAGAATTCCTGTTTAGGGACAGTGAGGATTAAGTGGATAGTGATAATAAAAAGCCTGGTGGTGAGAATGATCGTGATAACAACAAAGAAAGTCATGAATCACAGGGATAAATTGTGTCAGTTGCAACCACGTTATGACGCGCCTCACCACCAGACTCCCTCTACCACCACCCCGCACCAACAACGTACCACCCTCACTCTTCTTCACCACAACCTTCCACATCCCAAGCATCTCCTTCATATCTCCTGCATTATACAAGCTCATACCACCCGCTACCTCCCACCCCCACATGGTCCACCACCACATACGGTCACCAAGCTCCTTCCACCTACCACACTCTGCTTATCAGCTATGCTACATAGGAATCCCTCTCCTTTTCTACTCCACCTAGAGCTCTTCAAGGCCCTTATATTTCTAGTTCCCCTGGTCTTACTGCTACTACTCCCACTACACCCTCTGCTCTCATTCCTCCTGAGCACAGGCAGCAATTACGTCATTCCACCCCTTCTACTGGCCTTTTCATACCTCCTACCCTGATCTCCACTCAGCACAACCACAACCTTTATCATTATAACTATTACAGCCTTCACCAAAACAACTATCAACACCATCACCACTTTCAACTCTCTCATGTGTGAGAGCATTAAGGAGATAGTCCTTAAGTTTCTGGAGATAAGGAGTGCTACTGATAGGCCCACAAGTGGATATCCAGGCATTTCAGAAGAAACCATTGCTAATGACCACGAAACCTTCCAACACAGCCCAAGGAAGTCTATTCATCATGCCTCACGTGAAGAGCATACAAGTTGTACACAAGAGATTGCATCCTCATGCTTATGAAATACAGATAGTGCAAGCTTTAAAACCAAATGACAAGCTATAGCACTACGAGTTTGCCTATTTCACTTCGAACCCAATTGATAACGACGACAACAACTAAAAAGGGTCTTGTTCCCTGATGGCGATATCTTTCGCATTTCAAGATGGGTTAACTGCCATAATGTGAACATATGGGGATCATAAAACTCACATGAGTTTTATGATCTCATTTGCGTGGTTCAAAACTTCATGTTTGGAGTGGACAATAGGACCCCTTTTTTCTTGTTGAGCAAAATGTTATGGGAAATGTGCATCTTGACATGGCTAAAATATTATGTTCTTCCCCACCCTGAAAGAACTGCAGCCATTCCTTATATGGAGGGTGTTAGTGCACGACTCCCTTAAAAAAAAATTCCCAAGTAGATAGATTAAACATGATGGGCCAGTCCCCTGGTCTCTACATGAAGATCTCTCAATGTGATGGCTGATGACAGGCTTGTTGTGAGGTTGTTAAGGACAACCAATTGCATTAGCTATGTGACAAGGGATATCATTTATGTTTACATCATTATTCCCATTCTTCACATTCAAATACAGTCTTGTGTTCATTAATTCCCCTAAATTGGGAAAGTTAAAGACTAACTTAATGAGGAGTCGGCCATACAGCAACAACAGGCCACTATCAAAGAAAGCACAAATAAATGTAGCGAGGAAAATATAAAGCATCTTACCTGATATTTTTTCAGTCCCAATGACTTGTATTTTCATATTATCATTCTCTTTAGCTTCCTCAGCATCCATATTATCTTTCTCTTTAGCTTCATTATCTTTCTCTTTTGCTTCCTCAGCATCCTTCTTATCTTTCTCTTTAGCTTCCTCAGCATCCTTATTATCTTTCTCTTTAGCTTCCTCAACATCCTTCTTATCTTTCTCTTTAGCTTCCTCAACATCCTTCTTATCTTTCTCTTTAGCTTCCTCAGCATCCTTATGTTCAGTCCTTTCTTGCTTATCTTTTACAGGAGAAGATGATCCATTCTGAAAATGATTAATTATAAATAGGGCTAATTATTACTCGTGTTTTTTTGGTGTGCTAATTATGGTTTTGAGCAACATAAACCTCTAAGTAATAAGAATATATTTGCTAATATACTCAAGCACTACAAAGGAGGTCGCCGGGTTATGTACATCCGACTTATGAATACCCGCCGATAGGAACAAGGTCCCATAGGGTCAAACGGGTTAAACTTTAAATTACAGTACTTGTACAGGATTTTATTTACCTGACGACTTATTTTTTACTTTCATTTACTGTATTTTGTCATTCTAGGTCTTCTTTTCTCTTAAATGAAGTGATTTTAGATGTATGTAAGGACACAGGATATGACATAGTGGGACTTTAAACATTGTTCTGTAAGCGCGGTATAGACATGGAAACGCTTCGACTTATGTACATTTTTTACTTTAGAATGTCTCCAGGAACGGAACTCCTTCATAACCTGTGAATTACCTGTACTTATATCCATGGATCAGAATAAAGCCACAAAGTAAAGTACTGTACAGTAAACCCTCCAAAGTCTGGACACCGTAAGTTTGATTTTGGGATAGTCCAGACAAGAAACATTTGTCCAAACCCTTAAATATTTGTCATTTGAAATTCCTGCCAACGAACGTTCCCTTGAAGCCTTTCTCCTCCTTTCGGACCTGTGGGTGAGCAGTTTATTCCCCCAATCTTAGAATGAACTAGCCCATAATGCTGCACTATGAATGGTTTGCTTAAGTTTAACACACATTCAGCCACAGAAATGTGGTAAGATTTTAGGTATAAAATTCAAACAAGTGATGGTAACCCTCCCAAGAGCACAGAAGATGAGGGCGTAATGCATCATCCATATGTCACACGCACACACCTGCCACAGTCCATCTCAGTCTTCATTAGTTTGAAGTCAAATTACAAATTATATATAGTATTTTGTTCTATTATTTAACATTTTATATTATTAATGATGAAACACACCATAAGAGGTTGATCATACAAGAATATAATAAAGACTAAAAACAAATGTGAATGCAGCAATGGTAGGTCCCACCCCCTCACTCCCCTCCTTAGGGGATCAGTGGTCAGGGAAGAGATGACCTGATTTGGCTTATCCCTTTATTTTGAAGTGAAATTACAAATTAGGTAAATACCAAATTTATTCTATTATTTAATAAAGTATGTTATATTATTTATGATAAAACATACACCATAAGAGGCTGATCATACAAGATTATAATAATGAATAAATAAAAACACACACAAACTCCGCAGCTGCCAGTCCCACCCCCAACCTCCAGCAATTTACTCATGAAGTGTCATCTCTCGTAACTATCACTTTTCTTTAGGCCTATATCAAATCTGATTATATCACTGTACAGTAGGTTTTCAAATTTTCCGAGTTTTTAATTCAACGTTTTTTATTTGGAAAAAAAAGAGACAATTTCAAATTTCGACGGAGGAAACTTGAATTTTGACGGGTTTGAGCGCCTTCCAAGACGCTAGTTGATGGGTTGTAGCAGAGGTTTTCTTAGGGTCAACTGAAATCAGCCCCTTACAAAGACTCTTACCTCATTACTTAGCAATTACAAGTATTCTCTACACTATAAATTAATTGATTTAAGTAATATTGTTGATATACTGTACTGCGAAAAATACGATTACAGGGTATTTACTTACTCAGTCGGTAAAAAATTAAAAATAAACGGCTGCAGCTACACAACCCTTGCTGCTGTGCGGTTTGTTTACTAATGGCAGTGGTGCGGCATCGCCATCTATTGAGGAATTGCGAAAGGTTGTCTGCTGGTCTCAAAGCGCAGGAATTTTTGTTTCTTCACGCTTGAGTGTCTAGAACTTTTTCATTCACTACCAAGCCTTCACTGGTGTCACAAGCCATTTTCCTTCCTGCAAATTATCTTAGTTGTTTGTGGCGCTAGCAGGGCCATTAGTTCCTTCCCGCCCACGCACGGAGACAGCCAGAACTTTATCTCTTGGTGATCTCGTGTTCAGACGCTCATTTCGTGCCCTTGATATGGCAAGTGTTGAACCAGTAGGTGGCAGGGGTCAACCTGGTGTGAATGGGAACCCTCCTAAGCACCCAGAACTGCCAAAGGCAAAGAGGGAGTAAAAAGTTGGCAAGAAACATGCAAAATATATTTTGGCTGACAAGGCAAAAATTTTGTTTTTTTTAATAAACTTTTTCTGTGTTGTTTTTAGTTTTTATTTAACTTTATCTGTGTTATTTTCGTTGGTTTATTAGGACGTTGCTTTATTACAGGTAGTAATTTGCCAAAAAAGTAGGGTAAATAAGGCAAAATTTAGCCAAACATCTAAAGTACCAGACTCAAATTAAATTCTCCATAGGACCTTTGTATTTAAATTTGGACGATTTGAATTTCGCGAGGTTTTTAGTCTAAATACGTGTCCAGATGTGAGAGCCTACTGTACAGTATCCCCATCAAAGACAATATGGTACACAGAGTACAGTATATTTTAATTATAAATAAGGTAATATACTTTATAAATATACAGTGGTCCCTAGGTTAATGAACACAATTCGTTCCACAGAGTAGTTCGTTAACTGAATCTATTATTTCAATGGGATATTGGGTACAGTAATTGGTTCCAACTCACAGAAAAAGTATACATACAAAGTACTGTATACCAGTAATAGAATTAACAAAACATAAAATATAAACTAAATACAGTACTGTACTGTACAGTATACTGTACAGTAATAAATTAAAAACAATAGAATACTGTATTTTAACTTACTTTGAGGTGTGTATGTTGTATTACCACCAGCTTTGTTTGCATATCAAACAACTGATTGTAGAGGCAGTCAAGGATGACATGCCATATTCTTTACAGAGTGCATTGGTTCTAATGCCTTCATGTTTCATAATAATTTCTGTAATATTCCATTGAAATAATAGATTTGGTTAACGAACGACTCTGTGGAATGAATTGTGTTCATTAACCGAGGGACCACCATGTATATATACAGTCATGCGCCGGTTAACATCCTAGATATGTTCTTGGAACGTGACGTTAACCAAAATGGACGTTGTCTGATCCTCACATAAACTTTGTATTTATACTTACATGTATGTGGAATAATATACAGGTGCTCCCCGACTTACGACAGGGTTAGGGACCCAAATCCAGGTCGTAAATCCGATTGGTCATAAGTCCGACATAGAAGCTTTTAAGGAGGAGTTAGATGAAGTGATTGTGGAAGGGAATTATTTGCCTGAGCAAATATTCAATGTGGATGAGACTGGATTATTGTGGAAGCGCATGCCTGAGCGGACATACATCCACAAAGAGGTGAAAACAATGCCCGGATTCAAGGCATTCAAGGACAGAATTACACTTCTGTTGGGGGGAATGTTGCTGGTTTCAAGCTAAAGCCCTTCATGATCTATCATTCAGAGAACCCCAGGGCTTTTAAACATGTCAGCAAGCACACACTGCCAGTGTTTTATCGCAGTAATAAGAAAGCCTGGATGACCTTAGCACTGTTTGAGGATTGGTTCATGACTTGTTTCATTCCACGAGCCAAGGAGTATTGTCTGCAACAATGGATTCCATTCAAGATTTTGCTGATTTTGGATAATGCTCCGGGACACCCACCACACCTGGACGACATGCACCCTGATGTTAAGGTAGTGTACATTCCACCTAACACTACCTCTATCATCCAACCCATGGATCAAGGTGCTATTGCTGCCTTTAAAGCGTATTATTTACGCATGACCTTCGCTCAGGCTGTTGCTGCTACTGAAGGTGAGAAAACGCTCAGAGAGTTTTGGAAGGAGTACAACGTTTTGTCATGTATAAAGAACATTAGTGTAGCATGGGATCAGGTTTCAAAACATTGCATGAATGGAATATGGAAGAAAGTCCTGAAAAGATATGTGAACAGTTTTAGAGGATTTAATGAAAATGAAGTTATTTCGGATATTAGTAACAAGATAGTGGAGTTAGGTAAACAGCTTCAGTTAGAAATTGATAATGAAGATGTTGAACAGTTGGTTGAAAGTGTAGCAGAAGAGCTCAGTAACGAGGATCTTATTGAACTGGAAGCACACCAAGATGCACAGGAAGAAGCCAGTCTAAATGTAGAAGGACCTGCACCCCCCAAAAATTTTTCAGTGAAGCAAATGGCAGAGGCATTTGCTACAATTAATAAAGGGATGCAAATGTTTGATGGCATGGATCAAAATTATGAGCGTTTTGCCAAAGTTGACAGAATGATCCAAGATGCACTTGCTTGCTACAGAGAAATTTATAATGAAAAGAAAAAGCAAACTGTGCAGTCTAAATTGGACATCTATTTTAAGAAGTCCCCCAGTGCTGTCACCTCACGCCCCACCAGTGCTGTCTCTTCACTCCCTCAAGATGTTCCAATACCTTCAACCAGCAAGTTTCCACCGTACATAAACCTGTCTCAAGAAAGCGACATTGATGACACATGCAGCCCTGTCTCCTCCTCTGCTTCATTCAATTAATGTAGTCCCGATGTATAATTAGAAAATTATGGGGGCCCCGTGTGCATTCAGCTGACTACATTAAAGGTAAGTGCTCAGTCACACTGTATCCATTCCTCATTATTCATTACCTTTACTGTACTGTATTTCATTGTAGATTTTAAGTTTTTTTTTATTTTTATTTTTTTAAATCTATGTCGGACTTACGACCATTCCGACTTACGGCCTGGATTTGGATCCCTAATATATATATATATATATATATATATATATATATATATATATATATATATATATATATATATATATATATATAGAGAGAGAGAGAGAGAGAGAGAGAGAGAGAGAGAGAGAGAGAAATGAAAGATAAAGGTTTGGTAGTTTAGGAATATTTTGACTCCACACATCAGAATTTGATAAAAGATGTGGTGAGCATTGTTGTAGCAGCCAAGGGACTAACTAAACTGGCATTATCAGACAAGTGAGTACAGTACAGACAGTCCTCTTTGTTGTCGTTTGTCTCATTAATTATATGGTATTTACTGTATTTTCTTATACACTCATAACTTTATATTAAAACAAATTTCATTTACATGATGATTATGTGGATACCTACTTGTGGATTTTTCCCAGTAGACTTCTCAACATCAACCACACATTTACTTTCTTCCGCCTTAACCACAGCAACTAAAAAAGAGGAAAAAAGAAAATATCAGAAAATTTAAACATTATATACCTATTATATATATTACAGTACCAGTGTACTGTATATACATATTTGTCTTTTTCAAATAAATTCCCATTTCAGATAACACAATAACTTTACTTACCAGCCAGACCCATGTAAGGTGCGAGGAAATCATGTTTAGCAAGGCACTGTCCACAAATCATCTCCACATAGTCATCACCAGGAGGAACACTGCCGCCCTGATGCTGAAAATTTTTAACAATAAAAAGAACCCGTTAAGAAAACTTTTATTATGTCCATTAGCCAACACACATCACATTAAAATTTAATGTTACCCCATGTTAGATTGCATAAGAACATGTGCAGTAATTGGGAACATCTAGCCAAACGCTGTAACTGATAGGTCTTAAGAAAAGTAAAAAATCACTATTGAGTAGATTACTGACCCTGCCATGGTACCAATCCTCACAGATGCAGCATTGAATCATTTCATCATCTGTGGTGTCCTCTGGGTCAGGATAGGGGCGTTGACAGGTGCAGTACGTCCCACTAAAGTTGTGGTTGTATCCATTTTCTGGGTTTTCAGGCAGTTTGTCCTGAAATTGGTGTCTTATTATTTCTCACCAGAACTTACCGGGTAACTTACCTTTCAGCTTTACAACATGTACATCAGGATTGGGTCAAATAATTTCCCAAATTAACCAAAATTAATTTTGGAATCTTCTTTACTAAGTTTAGGTAATCCATATTTGACTGTTAACTAATTAAGTAAATTTAATTAAAAATCTTGCCTATTTAACTTTATAAATTAACATTTATGCTGTCTCTTAAGTGCAGTAGAACACACAACCATCATAAACAACCAAACATGGTACTGAACAGTACTGATATACAGTAAGATCTCATATTTCACGCGATTTCATTTCGCGAGCACTACCTAATGTAAACAAGTCTTATATTTGGCGTAAAATATCATGAATTTCTTAAGATCCAGCCAGCTGAACACGAGATCAAGCAAGCTGAATGCTGGCCACCGTCTTGAATGATGTCACAGCCCTCATACCAGTTACAGTCATTTCTGCTACAACGCGTTTTGTTAACACGAATTGGTTGCAACGCGATTGATGAATAGGGGACTGTTTGTAAAACGCAAACTTTTGCATACGGATGTTGGCTATAGCGTGATTCCATCCTCAACCTCTTAAGCACAGCGCGGGGTTATGCAATATTTACAGTTCACGTTCGACATCGTATGTTCGATTGTGTAAGCGCCTTCCGGGCGTTTAAAGGTTAATCAGACTCTTCACGTTAAACTTGAACTTTATAATTGGGTCAAACCTGTTGAATACAATTAATTTTAGTATTTCAAGCAAATCATATATAGGCAATCATACACAAATGTTTAATCCAATATATATTTACATAAAAATCATAGCTATGTAATTAGTCTAATCTTAACACTTACAATGAGTACTTAATTTGCCATATTTTTATGTTATCACAATGATAAACGATGCAATGGACACAGTCTACCTGTGTACACAATAAGTACAAGTTAAACTTACGTGTTGAAAGTCTCAGGAGAAACAGGTTAGGTTAGGTTAAAATCATTTGTAGGTTATAAATGGGAAAATCAAAGATTGATGTAGAGTGGCCAGTCTATGTTGCTATTTTTCCCATTAGTTTATGTATTTGCATTTGGCGAATTTGAATTTGACGCAATTTTTCCAGTTTATATTATTTGTGAAATACAAGACCTTACTGTACAGTACTGTACCAGTACAGATATTTATGTAAGAATAACACTGTCACGTGTGTCTAAATCTGATGAAAAATATGTAATTCTTAAGTAGAGTAGTACAGTAAGTCTCGCTAACGTGACGTTACACAAAACAACGTACAGCAGTAAGAGGAAAGAGTAAGAAGAAATAAAAAGAATGCAAGAAAAAGTAAGAGTAACAAAAAAGATTAAGAAGAGGAAGAAAAATGGGTGTGAAAAAAGGGTAAGAGAAAGATGAAAAGTACAAAAAAGAGAAAGAGTAAGAGAAAGAAGAGCAAGAGTAAGAAAAGGAATACAAAGAAAGAGTAAGTGTAAGAAGAAAGAGTAATAATAAGAAGTAAGAAGAAAGGTAAGAGTAAGGAGCAAGAGTACAAAGAGTAAGAAGAGCGAAAATAAAATGAAAGAGTAAGAGCAAGAAGAGCAAGAGTAAGAAAAGGAATACAAAGAAAGAGTAAGTGTAAGAAGAAAGAGTAAGAGTAAAAAGAAAAGAGTAAGTAGAGTGAGAGCTAGGTGGCCTGTACAGTTATACATACCTTCAAAAGCTTGCAAGCATTGTGAGGAAACTTGGAGTTGCCACAATCACAGCGAAAATTTCTGAAAATATTCACACGTATCATAATGGAAACTCTTTTATTATACAGTACTGTACATGAGAAGACCACTAGCAGGTGAATCAGCTTAAATGTCATGTCCTCTAAATGCCAGATAAATACTAAACACTAATATGCAAAAATTCAAATACTGAACAAAATCAAATGATTCAGTAAGCAGCTCAGGGAATCAATCACTTTAATTTTTTTCTGCATCCGTGGAAAGTAGAGTGAACCGAGCTGACAACAGTTCAATGGTATTATTGTAGTGTGGAACTTCTGTTGCGAAACGTGTTATCAGGGCAAGCCTGACCTAGACTGACACAAGGAGAATAAATGAATTAATCCCTTGACCATATCTTATGATCCCGACTTAACGACAGTACCTTGTTGGCCACGCCCTTCAGTCCTTGACACCTGTACAAAAAGAGTGATCACTATAAGACCCAGGTGACACCATGAGGTCTATGGGAACCCAATGACCCTAAACTCTATGCAACCCCTTATGATGCATCTTGTGACCCCACTTAGGGTTGTGACCCTATGTTTGGGAACCACTTGGTTAGAGTGAAGGATTACTTTTGATTATTGCCCCAGTCATCATTAGTTTCCCTGAGGTACAGTACAGTGTATGGTATGATTATAAAGTTTACATTTGAGGGATGTGAGTCTAACAAACTAGTTTAGGGTTATCACCAGAGTATCTATTGAATCACTAGCAACTACCACATCAGGGTTAGATCATGACAGGCTCTATCATGTGGTGTTCAGGTATGATAATCTGTTTAGTCTCACTTACCTTTTTGTATAAAGTTCAATAAGCTCATGGTCCTCATGGCAGTGATAGCTACAAGCTAAGCATACACCAGCTAATCTACCACTGTCCACAGAGCAGCAAGTCATGCAAGCATACAGTGCTTGCCGTTTGACATATCCCTGAAAATAAAGTAAAATATTTTATCTGTAATTATTTTGGAGACTCAAAAACCTTCATAAAATAAAACAGTAAAAGCACTTACACTGGCAATATGAAAGGGGTCAGATGATATGAATCATCCTGTGAGTCAACAGGTTTCACTCTAATACCTGACCCTCACTTCATTCGAGGGTCATGTTCTGCAAAAAAAAACTCGCATACAGTGAATTCTTAATCTTATGGGGAAAATGGTGACGTGTTCTATAACAATTTCTGGAGCTCCTCCGAACCTTAATTCTGGCACTTTTTCATAACAAACACAGTAAAACACAACAGCTATGTTATCAAAGAAAATATAATTTTATAAATGCGTAGCCGACTCACCCCGATATGAGTCAGCTGAGTGGCAGAACTGTGTTACGTTGCCCAGAGGATGGTTTGAGTATGGAAGGAGCTATTCTTTGTACTCCAACCAAAAAAATTATCCACACCTTTTAGCCATCAAACAACGAACCAATAATTCTGACCGCGTACAGCTGACATCCCCCACGCCACTTCCCCGCTCTGCGTGATAACTCCCGAGTAAGAAATGTTTCTTCCCTTTATGTTTTGACCTTATAATAAATACAGTAATTGTTTTCACATTTTGTATGAAAGATTGTGGGTGTATGTATAAAAAAAAAGTCTACCTGAAATTACAAGTTGAAAAAAAAAATAAATAAATTAATAATAAATAAAAAATGCTGAGTGCTAACTCTGGCATCCCCTCTCCCAATTATTTCAGATATAGAGGTAATACTGGAATTATTTCCATCTAAATCAATTAAACTATAATTTGCATTTTGATAAATTTATGATGTTATCTGGTACCCAATGAAATATCGCAACTCCACTGTATCGCTTAAAATTTCACATTCCCATAAGAATTATTTACCGTAAATACTCCCGTGAAAAATCTGCCAAGTAGTCGAGTGTCATCTGTTTGTTTACAACCGGCCAGCTCAGGCCGAGCATACTCTCACGTCCACTAAAAACATAAAATTACACCATGAAGCTTCAACAAAGTTGCTTTCATTGGAGGAAGAAAAAAAAAAATCCACAACTTATGTCAGTGACCACCTGCCCAGCATATCTTTTTTTCTTAGCCATCATGTCTAGGCTAGGTCATCTAGGCTAGGTCGTCTAGGCTAGCTTTAATTAATTCAGAACTGAGACACAACAGTCAACAAGTAAAACATTGCATCTCTCTGAATTCAATAAAATCAGTCAAAGTAACAAAAAAAATTATCATTTCATCTTCGAAAATGTCTGATATTTCCTCAAATTTGTCTGCAAGTAGATCACAGGCATTTCTGTCAGTAGGCCACCAAGGAAGACAAAGTAGTGTGTGCCTAAGGGCCTATGCCCTTTCCACACTAACATGGCCCATAAGCCCCTCGTTTATAGCTACAAATAGCCGATGGTTTCCCCGAGTGTTGTACCCCCCCCCCCTGGACTGCGCGTATATAAGTGCGTCTTTTTATCGACCTTTTATGATAAATAGCCTGAACCCCTCAAACCCGAAACTCTCCGATAGCCGGAATTTAAATTTTCTTGGAAAATCATTCCCAAAGTCAGAAATTTTCTGGAAAATTCCAGCATTGGGAATGATTTTCTGGAAATTCTGAGAAAATTTTTCCAGTACCTAAGAAATTCCAGGGATGGGGGAGTTTTTTTCCGGGTTTGAGATGAAAATTAGGTCCATTTCCTGGAAATTCTGAAAAAAAATTCCGTTACCCAGAAAATTCCGGGAATGAGGGATAATTTTCCGGGTTCGAGAGATGATGTACATTAATGGGTAATTTCTGGAACTTCCAAGAACATTTTACCGCTACCCGGAAAATTCCGGGGGCGAGGGATTTTTTCTCGTTACCAGGAAATTTCTCATTCCCGGAAGTGCTCTGCACCAATTGTTCCGGATAACGGGGATATCACTGTATTTAAAATTTTCTAACACCCTATTTGAAGGGCTAATGCCTTGAAATCATTTTCAATTTGATAGTCCAGATATTTAACATTATTTTAGATATTAACAGAGGTCTGATTACCAATTGTGAACACATTTAGGTTGAATTTTCTATGAACCAATCAGCTATTAGTATAGAAGAGGGGCATGGCTTATGGCCAGGTTAGCGTGGAAATACTATAATTATCTACCAAACAAAACATTTTCACAAGAAAAGATCATATCAGAACTCACTGAAGAAAATATAGTAAGAAAATAAACATAAAAACAAATAATGCGTTGGTGTATTTTTAGTACCGGGTATCTTACCTCACATTTTCCCTCTACTTCAAAGCCATGCCCACTTTAAACAAGTAATATTGTTGGTAATTTTATCTATTAAAATACCCCAAAAATATAAATTTCTGACGAAAATGCCAAAAAAGAAGTGTGAAATGTCTTAGAATGGTCTGAACTATACAAAAAATAAAAATAAATAAATAAATAATAATAATAATTATGAAAGTGAGTTGGGCCCACCTATGCAAAATTACTAGAGATTCCTGACACAATGGAAGAAATAAATGCCAAATGCCACCAGAGTTACAGTCTCATATCATTCAGTTTATGAGCTGGGTAAAAATTTTGGGGTCGCCTGAAAAAACAATATGCAGAAAGTCTCCGATCCATGCTAGGACATTTTCCCAAACCCCATACCTTTCCAATTTAATTCTCAACCTTTCATGGGGTCAATAGCCTTGGCATAATCTCGGTATATATTGTCGATATTTATGCCTTGTTCTAGAGTTCAAGTCCAAACATCTAGGACCTTGAATAATTGTGTTAAGCAGGAGTGTCCTAGCATAAAACCATGTTGGCAGTCCTTTACAAGGTTGTTTCGTAGTAGATGTTCCATTATGGTATTTCTTATGATGCTCTCTTGTACTTTACACAGTATTCTGGTCAGGCTCACTGGTCTATAATTATTCATAGTGACGATCGGCCTTCATACAAAAAATCGAAGGGACACCTCCGCTACCATCCAACTACACCTGGCCATGCAAATTCAAAGTTGTATGACACAATCTGGAGGACACAGTAGCAGTTCCTGTAGCTGAGGCTGTTCAGCCAAAATCTCCACAAGGTATCACAAAGTAAGGTACTCTGCAATTCCTCCACCTGTTTTGGGGTATCCTGGTTTACCCATTAACCCAAATCCCCGTTCCAGAGCACATTATTAGGTCAATATTTAGAAAATGACACCAGGCAACTGAATATTGAGCCACACACACACATTAATCGGTTCTAGGGCTTAAATTCCTTACTATTTTAGTAAATATCAAGAAGTTTATACTATTCAATAGTTTTAAAGGTTTAATATTCAATTTTTTAGTCATTTTAACAATTATTGAACATAATTGAAGGTAAAGTGACTAGTTTAATGCGCGGCATCCAGCCTCTTAACACAGCAAACAGGCGTTAGTCTCTCTGTTTTTCACTCGGAGGTGCAACATCTTGCTTGGAGACTCCCTTCACCAAATGTTTTTCCTGTGTTTCAAGCAAATTATTGGTCATTTTAAATATATTTTTACATATTGACAATATATAATGCAGTGCAAAATATCATGAAAATAGTCTTGAAATACACCCAAGAGAACTAAAATTTTATGGGTGAAATGGTGCCATGGGGTGACTTCTCTTCCCACGCCATCGCTCTTCTTCTTCCTTCTTCTCCTCCATCTCTAATTCCATCATCACCATCACCAGGAGCCTTCATTAACTTCAAAAGTAAGTGAACTTTTCTACCATTTTTAGTTGAATTTAGGAAATTTTGGTGAGCTGGAACCACTCATCTAAAACCCACAGAAACAATGGTTTCAAGCAGGACTTTTTCGGGTTAATCTAACTTAATCTCGAACTGATTGAGTTCGGTTAACCTAGGGGTCACTGTGTGTGTGGTAAAAATATATATATACTTCATTTTTAGTCCATATAACACGCGGATTTTGAACATATAATCAACGACCTCACCAGCAAGGAATCGAACCCTCGACCTACTGGGTGTGACTAGGGAACGCTTACCGGCTAGGCCACAAGGACACTAAAAGCAGTTCTAGACTCTGTTATATTTCACACAAAGCCTGTTCATCGAGCTGATGGCGCCGTGAACCTCATTGGGAAACTGCCCGTGCCTCTTATGTGGTGTCAGTAGCATTTTACCGAATCCAGCTGGTATGAAACGCGAGGTACATATATATACTTCATTTTTAGTCGCGGGCCGGGGCTGTAGTTTGGTGACCCCTGCGTTAGGGGTTAGGGAAGTGAGTTGAAGTTAGGTTAGGTTTTTTTTTTGAAGGTTTTTACATTGTTTGACCTTCCACTTTTTTTCCCAATATCTCAACTATTGCTCATTTCCAATGACAATGAAGGTCATATCTGTATTTAACACAAAGCTTTACACTAGAAAAACCTATGATAGATTTTTACTTTAGGACATGAGTCCCTAGGGGTTGACCAATATGTTTTTCCAGTATATTTTGGTGTGTTTTGAATGAATCTGACCTTTATTTTTTGTGGAAATACACTATTTGCTCCTCTCCCCCAACAAAATAAATGGGGGAGAGTAGGGAAATCGGGGTTTCTGGGTGGGGGAGAAAACAAGAACAAGTCACCTAACCTAACCTAATCCCTAGCAAAGGGCCCCGCCCCTAGCAGGCCTAGCTTAAACTTACCTAAATGTTTCAGGAGTTTAAAACATTGGGGCGCTTCATGTCCTAAAGTACAATACCATAGTTAGAAGTAGAAGCACCAGGGATACATAAGAATTGGATAGAATGATCGTCTTTCTCATAAAACTCGGCAATAAACTTAAAATAATCATAGGAGCACAAATGACAACCAACCTCCACCACGGCCATTGTGAGACTAGTCAATGAAAAAATTAAAATAGTACCCAGGATGCTCCCTTTGAGAAAAACAAAAACAAAAAAAAAACAAACGTGATTGGTCAAAAACAATTCGCGTGACATCAATACATCATTGGTCACGACCGGAAGACGTCAGTCAATACTGTATTGCACATGAGTTATGCGCCGATAACATCTCACAGAGACGAAGACTGAACACTTCGTAAAATCTATTAATTCAATTGTGTCGCTATAATCCATTTCCGCCTGGTATATAAGGGTTCAAAAAGCTCGGAACAGGGAGATCTAAATGTGGTAATTATATAGGACTAACCCACGAGCAAAATTGATTGAAAACAATTATAAAAATTCCGGATTTTCATTGTTATATTAAAGTGGACACTGTTGTAGTTTGTGGGCCCACTTTTGTTCATAATCTACATAAACGATCTACATACTGGGATCAGCAGTGACACAAGCAAGTTTGCGGATGACACCATAATAGGGCGGCAGATTAATTCAGGGCAGGATGCAAATGCACTACAGGAGGATCTAAATAAACTGCAGGGGTGGTCAGAAAAATGGCAAATGAAATTCAACACCAGCAAGTGCAGCGTACTTAATATCAACCTAGATAAGTCGACTTGTGAAAGAGACCTAGGGGTACTTGTAAGCCCGGACCTACGGCCTAGAAAACAGTGCGTTAATGTTCAAAATAAGGCAAACAGAGTATTAGGTTTTATATCTAGAAGTGTAAGTAATATGAGTGCAGAGATCTTGTTGCAACTATATCTTGTGCTAGTCAGGCCGCACCTCCATTATGCAGTTCAGTTCTGGTGCCCCTATTATAGATTGGATATCAATTCACTAGAGTCGGTGCAGCGAAGAATGACAAAAATGATTCCGGGACTTAGAAACCTTCCATATCAGGATAGGTTAAAGAAACTAAACTTGCATTCCCTAGAAAGACGAAGAGTGCAGGGAGATATGATAGAAGTATTTAAGTGGGTGAAAGGAATCAACAAAGGGGATATAGAAAAAGTTCTTATAATATCCGAGCAGGATAGGACTCGGAGCAACGGATTTAAGTTGGATAAGTTTAGGTTTAGGAGGGAGATAGGAAGGAACTGGTTCACAAATAGGGTGGTGGACGAGTGGAACAAGCTTAGCAACTTTGTAGTAAGTACTGGAACGCTGGAAAGTTTCAAAAGGAGACTGGATAGATTCATGGATGATAGAGTGGTAGTAACTCTCGACAGGAGCTACCATGCACAGGCCAACCGGCCTATTGCAGACTCCTTATTTTCTTATGTTTCTTATGTGAAATTTGAGGCATTTTTGGGAGTGAGATGATATGGCGGGTCCGACTAATTACCCAAATGTACCCAAATGTACCCAAATATAGCCGGAATGAAGTCAAATAATGGTCCTAGATGAATAAATCGGACTGCCAATCACTTCTCGACTAGTATTTGGTGTCACAAAGTCACAAAAAATTGGAAAACTTACTTTAATCTGAGTTAATAGATCGCGTGCATGTACCGACGGAGCGAGGAATTACCCAAATGTACCCAAATGTAGTCGCAATGAAGTCAAATAATGGTCCTAGATAAATAAATCGGACTGCCAATCACTTCTCGACTAGTATTTGGTGTCACAAAGTCACAAAAATTTGGTAAACTTAATTTAATCTGAGTTAATAGATCAAGTGCATGTACCTAACCTAACCTAACCGAACACAACACAACTCAGATTAAATTAAGTTTACCAATTTTTTGTGACTTTATGACACCAAATAATAATCGAGAAGTGATTCACAGCCCGATTTACGCTTGTACGACCATCATTTGACTTCATTGCGGCTATATTTGGGTAATTCCTCGCTCCGTCAGTACATGCGCGCGATGTATTAACTCAGATTAAAGTAAGTTTTCCAATTTTTTGTGACTTTGTGACACCAAATACTAGTCGAGAAGTGATTGGCAGTCCGATTTATTCATGTAGGACCATTATTTGACTTCATTACGGCTATATTTTGCTACATTTGGGTACATTTGGGTAATTAGTCGGACCGTGATATGGCCGCTTCGGCACTATGCAGCCCTGGCGGGTTAGTCCGATATATCAGCCTTAAATGGTTCAGTAGTTCATAACTTCCGGGCGCACTATGTCCTAAGGTAAAATAATAACAAACCCATTGTCAATATTCTGTTGCCTGGTGTCATTATCTAAATATTGACCCATTATTACCTAGTGTACAGTATATAATACATAGGCCAAACGTTTTACACAAAACAGTTGTTAGAAGGTTTAATGCAGTTTCATTTTAAAATTTCTGAAAAATCAAATTAATTGGTATCAGTCCTTCCCCTATAATTTGATCACTAAAAAGCTAAATCCGAAACCGATACTCAGTTTTAACTGTAGGTAAAACATGTTGCCCACCTGGTCGTATGTACACTTGGTGTCGTCGGCGGCACCCAGCACAGCTGCGGCGTCCAGCTGCCTCTCCTCCTCCTCCTTCAGCAGCTCCACCATGGAGATCCCCGACTCCTCAACATCTTGACTACCAGTTACCTCCGCCATCGTTGTCCTCTCAGTATGGTCTTTATGAATACACTTTAACAAACTCCTTCATGTACTAATTGTTACACCTTACTGTGTTCGTCAACTGTAGTTAGTGAAAGACAGAGGCAGGACTGGTCACGGATGGCGCCAATATCTGTCTGTTTATGTTTCAGTTCCCGTTTTCTTCTTCAGGTCCAAAATTCCGACGTTGCTTCTATGAAGGTTGTGTAATTTAATGATATTTTGTAATGCATCAATCAGCACATGATATTCAATACATCTAATTTAAAGGGGAATAATATTTGTAAAGTGATTAAAGATATTTACGATGTTGTAATTTTCCTTGTGTGGAAAAACAATCTGTGCTGCCGTCAGATTATAAACTATTAATGTTTAAACTATGATGTAATGAAGCATATATAAGGTAATGGGTGAATATTATTCACATTTGAACTTTAAATTTATTGCAACTCTAATGTAATGTTCGAAGATTAGAGAAAATATTACTTTATGGTCAATAATATAACCTATAGATATAATAAAAAAACATAAAGAGTATTTCTGCGTTTTATACATATTTACTTAGAATTTAGAAAAGACTGTTAATGGAAGTATTAATGAAATAGTTGAGGAAAAGTAGCGGTAGTGGCTGTGGGCGGACGCTGGCCAGCAACACCCGTCGACCAATCACAACAGTCGTCGCCGGCGTCTGCTTCCAGAAGCATTACGCTGCTAAACTTTCCTTTTTCTGACTGAAATTATCTATCCCTTCAAAAAAAACCAAAATCATGGGTTGCGAAGAGGAAGTGCTTAAGATTAAGAAGAAGCTGGATAAAATGACGTCAAGCGATAGTGTGAGTTGTTGGACATAAGATTTGACATCTAAAATAGTAGTTTGTTGTCACTTGTGGAGTGTGCGTGTGGAGGCTGCATGTGCCCCTCGCGCCTCTCTCAAGTTAACACACTGGCACAATACTTGAGTGCAACATGGCTATGACTTTATCTTATAGTCTTGATAGTAAACATTTGATTGACCCGACTATTGTAAACGCTGTCATAGAGTAGTCATATGCACCGTCGCATGTTGGCTCAACCGATACACAACAATTTCATGATAACAAAGACGACACATCCTTAGTTATAATGGAATACAGGGAACACTATTATGGTTAATGCTATCTTATTGTTTTGCATTGGATACTGGCAGTGTTGACTGGTCCACAACAGAGATTTACTCATGTCCACTTTAGCTAAGTTTGTTTCTTGGTATATTTTTATGGGATATTAATAAGTATGTTATATATCTATATGATGCAATTAATTCAGTAGTTGATAGAAATACTGGTAAGTCTTAAGACCTCATGCACTCCAACTAGGCCATTACAACCTAGAAGGCAAAGAGGTAATGTCTAAGAGTCATGTTAGCGTCCTCGCAGGAATATTTAGAAAGTTAATATTTTGCTATTTGCACTTTAGATATAGGTTACATTACCTTTAAACAATCTTGAATAGTATTTAGTTTGGAGCTACTGATGTTGACATTTTAATAATTATCACAAGCATCTACGGTAGATATCGCCTCCAGGTCTTCCTCTCCCATGTACCACGGTCTCAATTTCACCAATAGTGTTAAGTCATGTTTCATTGCCGACAGGAAAATATATTTTTATGGTGTATTTTGTTTAAGTCTGACTGTAAATTTTGTCTTTGGAAATTTCCCATTTCTTAGTCAAATGTTTCTGACATTTTCTCATTAATTGGGATTTTCCAAAGAAATGTAGGTCAGATTTAAAGAGAGCACACCAACATACACCTTAAAAATATATTTCCCTAATAAAAACGAAGGGAGCCGCTAAAACCAATCACTACACTACCACCAGAAGTTGTTGTTTGACTTCATTAGTTTTTTCCACTTTTTTTTATTATGGTAAATATTTTGGTAATTTCTGAGAACAGCGCTACCACCAGAAAGTGTTGTTCAATTTTGTTCATTATTTCCACAGATACAGTATTCTTATCATTATGGAGGTGACAACTTTTTATTTTAATTATACTAAGTAATGAGCAGAGCATGAAGGATGAGGGAAATTACAGAATAAACCAAAGTGAAAAACTGATCTTATGACACTAAAATGATGTCTTTACATGCTTTGTACACAAATAAATTAATTATATACCCCTTCAGTCTGAGCGTACTCTCACGTCCAATAAAAACATAAAATTACACCATGACATAAAAAAAGTTGCCCTCATTGTTACTAGATGCCCAAGTATCTGTTTAATATGGTGGTGGGTCTGGGGGTGAAGCCCACCTGTTTAAAAGTTAGGTTTGGTAGGGTCCTTTGGTTGGTTAGGTCAGGTTTGGTAGGGTCCTTTGGTTGGTTAGGTTAGGTTTGGTAGGGTCCTTTGGTTGGTTAGGTCAGGTTTGGTAGGGTCCTTTGGTTGGTTAGGTCAGGTTTGGTAGGGTCCTTTGGTTGGTTAGGTTAGGTTTGGTAGGGTCCTTAGGTTTGGTAGGGTCCTTGGTAGGTTAGGTTTGGTAGGGTCCTTTGGTTGGTTAGGTAGGTTTGGTAGGGTCCTTTGGTTGGTTAGGTCAGGTTTGGTAGGGTCCTTTGGTTGGTTAGGTCAGGTTTGGTAGGGTCCTTGGTTGGTTAGGTCAGGTTTGGTAGGGTCCTTTGGTTGGTTAGGTCAGGTTTGGTAGGGTCCTTTGGTTGGTTAGGTCAGGTTTGGTAGGGTCCTTTGGTTGGTTAGGTCAGGTTTGGTAGGGTCCTTTGGTTGGTTAGGTCAGGTTTGGTAGGGTCCTTTGGTTGGTTAGGTCAGGTCTTTAGGCATTTTAACTGCCCGTGCCATAAAGGCTGTCAATGTCAAGTTACATCCACTAACTTTCTTCAGATGTTAAGGATAATTTTAAGACCATATACACTTTCACTATGTATGTGGCCCTTGACTTGCACCCTCCTATACTACCCCAGTCTGCCACCCTTAGTTCTCTCCCATCAATACCTCCTCCACCATCTTGTGACTGGTTGTGTTGAAAAGCCTTGAGCTCACAGGTATGGCAGTAGGAAGTATGGATGATTACTTTTGATTGCGGCTGTACCAGTTACCTGAATTATGTACTGTAACTCATTGTACTCTCTACCCTTATATTTACAGGACCAGACACAGGCACTGGATATACTAAAGGTGTTACAAGGACTCCCAATCAATTTCCAGGTGAGATTACTGTATAGTGTGTTTTGTGGTCATGGGATTTTGAAGATGGCTTTGGATTTACTGGTTTTGCCAATTTCTATTGCTGAGCCACCTTTTTCATGCTTAGGATTTGGGCCTGTTCAGTCATTTCAACGCCCAACTGATCGGGAGCACCGTCGTGTGTGGTTGTTCAGAGACGCCTACAGTCCCTGTGGATCGGGATTGTTGGAATAATTCAGAAATGTAACTCATTTCGCTCAGTCAGCTCAGGTTTTTATGCTATCTCAATTTTAAGAAAATAAATAATAACAAATAATATTAGCATGACTATTTTTTCAAATCAGACTTACATTGACGGAAAATGTACAAACTATACACAAGTGCCGACATGGCTCACATCATGGTCGCATCAACAGAGGCACTTTACAGTCAGAAAAAACACATACAAAATCACTTCACAGTCACCAAAGCAGAGCACAATGTGAACATTAGTGATGTCATCTCACTCTAAGGTAACAACACTGATACTGACTCATAACCATTGAGCTCCATGATCATGGTCATGTGTGATCACCATCAAACAAAGTTTGGTACTCCACTGTAGTCACTGGATGGCCACGTGACCGCAGCTGACAAATGCAATGGGTGATGTGTTTCATATGCCACATTGGCTGGATGATGACCGTTGTTCATGTGAATTTTTTTTTTTATCTTAAATAGGGGTTCTTAGTACATCACCATCGTTCAAGCAAAATATTGTAGATAGGGAGATCGTGTATTGACGATACAGTACCTGTATATACAGGTAAAAATGGTGATTCTACCTAAATTAGAACTGCTTTTATAGACTTCAGTATTAACATTTCTTATGTTTTTTTGTTTTTGTTTTTCATAAAAGAATTGTGACCCAATCATTATATATTGTCAAAATATTTTGTGTAAGGATGTTTTATTGGGACGAACTTGTAGAGAATTTATTCAGAATGATTATGGTACTAAATTTATATTGCTTACACAGCTAGAACAGATGTTGTGAATATAAGTTTATACACTTTTTGGCTAGCCATAAATATATATGTTTACAGCCTTGAGCCTCAAAAATGCCTTTGTTTGATGGTCTATATTATATAGATTTTTATTTATTTTTTAAATATATATTATGAACCAAACTTTAATATAAACTACTCAGGATTAGTTTGCTGTAAATAAAAGTTTGTGCACTCTTTCACAAGCCGTAAATGTTTTTGCTTGTGCCCACGGTGTTTGTCTGTGTGAGATGAGACAATGAGATGTGTAGTTTAGAGTCGGGATTAAATGTGTAGTTTAAAGTCGAGATGATATATATACTATTGTTTAGACTCTCGGAAAACTTTCCCCAGCACCCGGAAACATTCCGGGGATGTGCGATAGTGCGTGTGCGATATGCCTAGTCGAGACTCTCGGAAACTTTTCCCAATACTCGGAAAAATTCCGTAGATGTAAGATTTTTCGGGTTTGGGAGAGTATTCTCATTACCCAGAAATCTTTCATCCATGGAGGAACTCTGCACAAAATTGTTCCGGTTAACGGGTATATCATTGTTCTCGAATAAAGTCTCCCTACACAATCTTTGGGTTCCCGGTGGTTGGGCTCACTGTTCAGCATGTGGACTACGAATATGGACCATAGTAGTGAGTTTATTGCCAAATTAGCTGCACAGTATTTCTGAACATACCTGGATGCTTCAGGTCCTAGTGAAAATTATTTATGTTTTATATACCAAGAGCTGTTTCTATTAAAAGTTGTAGTAAATTGCATCCATAATCCTAATATCCACTTCACTGTTTCTGGGTTATAGAGATTAAGGTTTTAGGAGATTAATGGCGGCCTAATACTGTTGTGTGTATTTAATACGGTACTGTACTGGTACGTACAGTACTCCTTTGATGCCCAGCGTATTTAAGACACTCATAATTGTGCATATCTTATTTTTAACTTGCATCTGCATCACTAAAATATTACCCTTCCAGGTGCTATCAAAAACTCGAATTGGTATGACGGTGAATGCACTTCGTAAGGCCTCAACTGATGAAGAAGTAATTTCCACTGCTAAACAACTTATAAAGAACTGGAAGAAATTTGTTCCTGGTAAGTGTATTGCTTTGATTTATTTTAATAAGGAGGTGGTTCGGTATTAGTGTTGACTTTCCTGCCAGTAGTGTTTACAATCTCACACATGATGCTTCAAAATATTGCCACTTGTAGAATCTTTATACATCAAATATACAGTATACCATACAGCAGGGATAGGCAACCTTTCCTCGGTCATGGGCAGCATTATGATTTAGGTATTTTTCTGCGGGTCTACCCGCCAAAATTTATATCTTACCTCACCCAAAAGAAATGTAAATATTGTATTAGCACAGACAGTGATGCAGTATATCATCATGTCCACCTTACATTATTTTCAGTTTACAATCAGTCTTTTTCCAATGTAAGAAACAAAACCATCATAACAATTTTTAAAGTAATATGTTAATGTTTCTTGGCATTTAACAGAAGATGAATGAAGCAGTCTGTGATAGTGTTATTTCATGTTTGTTTATTTATTTGTGTTTTCATATTTATTATACAGTTTTGCCTTACGCATACATAATGTTGTTATACATGTGCACACTCCTGGGACTGGCATGAAAAACTTGTGGATTTTGTTTTCTCACGGGCTTCGTTTTATCTAACCTCAGCGAACAATAAGAGTATACTGTACTGTGTGTGTGCACAGGGTGGTGTAATGTGTCTACTGTGGCGGCATTATGTCAGTGTTAAGGTGCAAGCACTGCTTGCTCCCTCTCGCTTTCAGCTGCCGCCACTGGCTAGCCCTCGTGGCGAACAGGGAAGCAACTTGCACAAGTCTTCCCCTGCCAGTACACAGCCTCTTCAATCCATACACTTAACGCCTTCTCCATCTTCTCTCCATACCTTTATCACATATCTAATGCGTAACTTTAGCACTGTGTGGTGCACTTTGACCAACACTACTTCTAATTTCCTTGCCTTTCGTCTTTATAGAACGAACAGTTGATTCATTCACTCCAAACCCACTGCTAACCCCTGACGCACTTATGCCACTGTCAAGTTTATCTAACGTTTCAATTTTGTGTGTCAGAGTCATGACTTTCTTCACTCTCTTTGCACCAGATGCAATCACCCCAATTAATGGCCTTTTGGGAGCCATGGCTGTTATAATTAACATTAGAATTGCTCTCAGGTGAGACTGGCAGGAAATGTGGGAGAACTCTCAGTTGAAACTGGCTGGAGAATACAGTCGCATGGGATGCTGCATGGAGTCACATCAAAACAGATGCCCACTGTTTTTATAATAAGCCCCCTTACCTTTTTATGTTACAGACACTCCGGTTTACAGAAAGGTTCCGTTCCTGGAATCTCTCTGTAAACCGAAAATGACCCTTCCAGAAGGTAAATATGTATTCTACCCTGTACTGAATCACAGATGGCATCTCACAAGGGGCTGCACTCAGCTGCCTTATGCATTAATCCTCCACAAATAGTGTTATTATGCCGTACTGTAGTAGGCAGCTATCAAACAGGGAGTTACTACCACCTGGAAAGATTTTGGAAGCCTAATTTATTGTCTAATGGTAGACCCTGCTACCAAATGGCATCACAAAAATTTTAACCAAGTCCCAGGATGCTGATCTGACGTTCTGTTTCATTTACACACAATTGCAGGATTTCAGTTGTTTCTCCTACTCTTAACAACACAACATACATAGTGTTGTATATCGTTTCTCACTCCTGACCTTTTTTACAGTTTTGCATTTATGGTCCTTTATTATTATTATTATTGTTGTTGTTGTTATTGTTAATACTTCGTAGCTTATATTATTACTTAAATCTTGTCACAACCCAGCATTTAAGATGGGGTGATGCCAAGTTAGTGGATAAAATATTTAATGATCTGCTCGTAGGTGTGAGAAATGTTTTTGTTGGTTAAGTACCAGAGCACTGACATCTGTTGAGAGTTGACTTTTGGGAGGCATTCTGTATCCTCGAATTTTTGTAAGCCGGGTGTTCTATAACCCCGGGAGTGTCTGTACGGTATTTTAATAGATAAAAACCTTTGAGGCTTGTTTTGCAGATGGTCCAATTCGTGAGAGTTGAACTTGCAAATGTTGAGGTGCTGGTGTATTAACGTTTAAATGGTTTTTATATAAGTTCTGTTATTTATTACTTGTGTTTTTACCTTGCCTGAATTGATTTTAGTCTTTTAAGCCTTTATTTTAATTTGGTGACATATGACCTCAGCTGTTGTGTCACCAGGGATGTAATACCACAATCAATCAATCAATCAATTAATTATTTTATATTATTCTTTTAAGCCTTTTTTTTTAATTTAGTGACATATGGCCTAACCTGTTGCATCGCACTTACCACAATCAATTAATTTGCACAAACAGACAGTGGAGGCATGAATTTGGAAAGCACTATTTTGATCAAAAAGCATTCCCGTGATACTTTCAGAAAATATAGAATTAGTGTATTGGCTCGTCCATGGTCCATCAGTTCGTAGCGATTGAGAGGCCTACACCGTCTTAGGGCAGTTGCCAGAAACCCCCACAAAGATGCTCCACAAATAAAAATCATGGGGAATTTAAATTAGGCCCGCAATAAGTATATCACAACAGTCCAGAACAGTGTGACCTTCCATACTGCAACTTTTTGGGGATATGTCTGCCAGTGGCTAAGGAGTCAGGGGTATACATGTAAGGAGTGCGTTGTTTAGTCTTGTGTACTTGAATCAACTTACCCAAGGATTTATTTTCCAGACAAGAAAGATGACGATGAAAAGGAAGGAAAAGAGGAAAAAAAGAAGGAGAAGGAAGACAAAAAAGAAGCCAAAAACAGTAGTAACACCAGCAACAACAGTAACAGTAGCAGCAGCAGTGGAAGTTCCAAACCTGCCAGCTTCCCATCTTCAGCCCCACCAACAACAGATTTTCTGCGTTTGAAATGCCGAGAAATGATTGCCAACGCCCTTAAATTATCAGGTTATTTTTAATTTATACTGTACACACATTTTATATTAAGTTGATCTTCAAATGTCTTGTAAATTAATTGTAAATACAGCTTGCATTGTCATCACATTTATTCAATTAAGAAATACCATGACTGCAAAAAATATTGATCCCCTCTGCATAATTAGCTGTGTTTATATACATGCTTTCACCGTGCAAAAAGCAGCCCGCCAAATTTGTGAAGGCGGGAATATATAACATCTGGCAAATCTACGGTGTTTCCTATATGACTAGAAGTGGTAGAAACTTGGCCAGTGCCTACTTACTTTCTATCAGGGTGTGCATTAATTTTTGCTCACCAAGCTGATGGGTGCAAATTAAGACACCCCCACAATTAGCCCCAAATTTTCTTTTAAAACTATATTCATGGCACCCAAAACATGTCTGAGGCAGAGCAGGGTCGGATCCTTGCCCCGTTAGACGAAAAAGTCGCTGAAAGAAATTTCAAGAACATGACGAGGAACAGCAACGATTAAGAGGTTCAAGCGATCAACACGCAACCTCCCTGCCAATGTTATTCCACCCAGGAGATTATCTCCAGGAAGACCTCCAAATGCACTAATTCACTACTGAGGCTTGAGATAATGAGAGATCCTAATAGGAGTGCATAACAATTGAAGAAGGCAAACCCCATCCTCCTGCAAAACGTATCAGAATGAACAATTCAACATCGCCTTCAGAAGGAACTTCCTCTGCCTTCCTGTCAAGCTGCACGAAAACCACTTCTCACGGACCGAAAGCACCATCAGCGGCTTGCTTTTGCAAGAAAATACCAGCACTGGAGCGAAGAACAATGGAATTTGTGATGTGGTTTGATGAAAGCACTTTTTGCATCCTGACTGCAGGGAAACAAACAGTCAGCAGGCCCATCAACGCCAGCTGGTATGATCCTCCTTACACCATTAAAACTGTGAAATATCCTGCAAGTGTGATGATGTGGAGAGCGTTCAGTGAAAAACGTGGTTGTGGTGGCCTCCATTTCCCCCCCAAAAACATGACAATGAACTCTGATCGTTGCATGACGGTCTTGGAAAAACTTTTATTGGATTATTATCGACTTCACCAGTCCACATTTTTCATGCAAGACGGTGCCCCTCCCCCGTCACAGGCCAAAAAGTGTGACAACTTGGCTTCATGAAAGGGCTATTCCATTGCTGGAGTGGCCTGGGAACTCACCAGATTTAAACCCCATCGAGAATGTATGGCACGAGATGAAGCGGAAGCTGTCAACACGGGACACATCAACTGTACATCGGCTAGAGGAGGAAATCAAGTGCATGTGGGAGTTTGAGATGGATGGAGAGTATTTTCAAATGTTAGCAGAATCCCTGCCAAAAAAACTTCAACTGGTAATAAAATGTAAGGGAAATATGACAAAGTACTAAATAGTAGTAGAATAAAACTTTTAACTCTGTAAACATGTTTTATTCATCCTTGAAACAAGTTTTTGTATGAATATCTTATGAAAAATTAAAGGGGATCAATATTTTTTGCATAACTGTAAATATGTTTAGTAGATGCACAATCAATTGGGAACATTTTGATTGTTTCTGTAAAGTTGAAGTGCGCCTCTTAATCCCTTGAGTAAAATGACTCATGAATACAGTGTTATTGTACTCATGAAATTTAGCCATTGTATTTAAAGGGATAAGACATTGTACATAAGGGATTAAATATTGTACTTGGGGGATGTATTCATTGCTCAGAGTACCAAATGAGGGTTAGCAACCCACTAATATTTCTGTTATTATCCCTTCATCCTTAATTATGTGACCAAAGTACAGTAATATCTCCAATAGTCGGAAAATTTCGGAGTTCCAGGGATGGGGGTGGTTTTTTTTTTTTTCGTGTTTGAGAGATGAAAATCAGGCGCATTTTATGGAAATTCTGAGAAAATTTTACAGTACAGTACCCAGAAAATAAGAGGGGCGATATTTTGCCGGGTTAAAGAGATGATGTAATGGGCAATTTCTGAAACTTCCAAGAAAATTTTTCCGTTACCCGGGAAATTCAGGGGATGGGGAATTTTTTTACGGCTTTGAGAGAATCGTCTCGTTACCTGGAAATCTCTAATTTCCGGAAGTGCTCTGCACCAATTGTTCCGGCCAACAGAGATACTGTATCACGGTTTTTGTTTTTTGTACATTTAAAGTATTTCTCTTGAAATGGTAAATCTTGGTACATCTTCATTTGTTTTCTTGTCAGTGCAGCTTATTCTTAGTATTTACATATGACACCACATTTCAAAGGCCTTCAACCTCCTTCTGGTGTCTGTTGAAAGTGTTCACATTTCATACTCAGGAAAATATATCTTGCTCAATGAGTGGACTCATAGTACTCAGGAGAGACATCTTACTGAAGAGGTTAAGAAGGGAAGTGAAAGTTGCTGGAGGGGAAAAGATAACCACAGATAAGGTGAAGCTGTGTGAAGGCCAGAGGGTTCACAGCATGGAGCACCTTTACTAAGGGTGCTGCTGTGTTGCTAAGGCGAGCATTAAGGGCGACTGCAACACAGATTGTACATTATCTGGTGTTCCTCTTAATGAACGATACAATACTGTAATGTAATTTTGAAATTTGTTTAATTTTGAAATCCCAGCCATACAGTTTAGGTCCCAGTGCTTGGATATTCATCCCCAAGACTTACTAGCCATATAAAGGTATTTGATCCAGGCTGTTATAAAATGGGATATCAGGATTATGTACTCCACCTTTTTGTAATCCTCTCTACTTTGTAACTGTCAATATTTGATCAGCATACCCTCCTTCTTGAAAAACTTTCTCCATCTCCATTTTGTGATAATATCTTCCCCTCCTTTAATCATATCATTTTTCTCATCACCAGTACTTTTTCATTTACTTTTTAAATTATTATTGTTTGCTTTATATCCACTTTCTAATTATTGTCACACTCTATTCTCTCTTTAAAAAAAATCCCTCTTAGTTAAAAGTCTAGAATGCAGGATGCTATCATCCTCTAATTTCTTCATATATTATCAGCATCTTTCGTTCTTTATATGAGACACTCCTCTCCTGACCCATTCCTCTCTTCCATATGTACTGTATACCATACTTGTATCCTTCCAAATTAGTTCTTCATTTTCTTGAGGTATCGCACATCCTCTTGCTGAAATCTTCATCCACTCTTTCTAGCTTAATCTTGCCATCTTCTTTACCTCTATAATCATGTTCTCTGGTAGTTAATCTTTTTATCTTTCTGTGTGTTTTAAACTTCCTTCTTAATTAAAGACTTCACTGCAGAGGACAGCCCAGGATGAATTTTAATTTTGTTAATTCCTCCTCCTTCGTAGATTTTCTTGTAGATGCCCTCATACATAACTTTCTGATTGTAAACAACATGATAGAAATGTTCATTCCTTCAAGTCTTGTGTTTCCTCACCAGTTAATACACTTATTAATAGAAAAATACAGTGAACATGAATATTTTCAGAAATGCCTGATGGTGTAGTGGATACTCCAGAGAGTCTGGCAGAAAAGATTGAAGAGGCCATCTACCAAGAGTTCCGCAATACCGACGCGGCTTATAAGAACCGCTTGAGATCAAGGGTTTACAACTTAAAAGATTCTAAGAACCCACAGTTACGAGAAAATGTGCTGAGAGGTGTTATTTCTCCAAAGAAAATGGCGTGTATGACATCCGAAGTAAGCACTTTCTGCATATTTCTTTTTTGTATTGATTTGTGTATATAAATGTCCATACTCTCCAACAAGTATCTTTTGGATGGGTCCAATGAATTTCAAAATGAACACTGCGACTTATTTTCTCGGTAGGCTTGTTAAAGTCCTGTAGCTGTTATGTCATATTGTCAAACACAAAATTATAAAGATACTTTTTGCAACTGTCACTACCACCACCATCTGCAACCACCACTAATAGCATCACTACTGCATCCACAACTACCATCAACACCAGTAACTACCATTACCCCCATCACCAATAACTACCTTACCACCATCACCAGTAACTATCGCTACTACCAGTACTACCACTACCACCATCACCAGTAATGACCACTTCCACCATAATCAGTAACTATCGCTACTACCAGTAACTACCACCATCACCAGTACTACCACTACCACCATCACCAGTAAGTCCTCGCTTAACGTTGTTTTGGTACTACGTCGCTGAACTTTAGAGGCCAAAAATTCGTTTAACGTCCCGGTGATCCGATGCTACGTCGCTTTGCGTCGTCAAGGACTACTTTCAATGGCGCATCACCCTCTTATGTCTAGCTGTTGAGTTACCCTTCTGTGCCACCACAATGGCAGCCCCCACATACACTAACTTTCCTCCATAGCAACCAGATTTTGGTTGTATATATCCAGGTTGGGGACACATGTATCCGGTGCTGCCATGAAAAATGTATTATACCTTCTAATTTGGTTTGACAATGTTTTAAAATTTACAGGAAATGGCTAGTGAAGAGATGAAGGCTCTTCGTGAAAAGTTCACAAAAGAAGGTATCGATGACCATCAACTGGCTATTGCTCAAGGTACAAAAACAGATTTGCTCAAGTGTGGCAAATGTGGACAGCGAAACTGCACTTACAACCAGGTACTTATCAGTTGTACAGTATATGTTAACTTTTGGTTTGGTTGCAAATTTTGTTAGTGCCGTGAACTAGATCAAAGGTGAGAATTTTTTGCTAAGTTCTGCAGACATGTTCCCGGGCACAGGTCATTTTACAATGACCCACATCAAAGCCTGGGGGTCAAAAATTTAATACAATAATAATAATGATGATACTAATAATAATAATAATAATAAACTTAATAAAAATTAATACAAATAAATGATTTTAATAAAAGAAAATATTAATACTGATAAGAAATAATAAAAAATGAATAATAATAAAAATGAGCCATAAATAAAAAAATTAAGAATGAGAAATGATTTAGGTATGTTGTGTCATCAAAGTAAAAGCAGCAATTGAGACCCTGCAACTGTGTGTAAATGAGGCAGAAAGTCAGATCAACAACCTGGGACTTGGTCAAAATTTTTGTGGTGCCGTATGGCAACAGGGTCTACCATTAGACAACACATTATGCCTCCAATATCTTCCCAGGCAGTAGTCCCTCCCTGTTTGATAGCTGCCTACTACCTACTATCTGGCTTCTGATGAAAGAAGCTAACTAGGGTTGAAGCACTTCTAGAAAACAGGATTTCAGCATCAATCCTTTATATTTGTTCTGGATTTTGCCTTAGAACTAGTGGTTCTTCTTCATACTTTTTAGGTAAAGCTTATTGAAGGCAGTGAATTTATCTGTACTGTACACAGATTGTGTAAATGTGCATTTGTACAGTGTGTATGTATGTATGTTTAGGAATTCAGTTAAACAATACAGCCATACTCTTTATGATTCATTTAGACTGCACAGGATTCAGAAATTTCCCTAAACTAATGATCTCTTATTATTTATCAACAGATGCAGACCAGAAGTTCTGATGAACCAATGACCACATTTGTGTTGTGCAATCACTGTGGAAATCGCTGGAAGTTCTGTTGAGCATCAGGCTAGAGGGAATTAATGTGCCCAAAGGATTTTATATTTTATTTTTTTTTATAGTGGACTTGTTAATCATTGGTTGCTCCCATACATTACTGTAATACAATGTTAATTGTCTTCGACACCTTCAGCCCAGCTTATTGTGGTCTTATACTTAAATTGTGTTATTTAACTGGGTTTTCTAATAAGTGGTCTTGTTGGGCTCACATTCTTCATTGTTAAAGATCTTGTTATGTTTCAAAAGGTGTGTGTCTGAAATATTACCAAGTTAAAGTCTAATACACTGTAGCTAATGACTTAAAATTAAACAATATCCAAATCTAAGAATTGTGAAGTTTTTTACTATTCACAGTTAAAATGTAACTAAAGTCATTTACTTATTATGAATTACTTTGTCAGGCTGTTATCATTAATACTAACATATCTTCTGATTTACTTGCCTGTACATCAACTTAGTAATTCAATTATGAAACTTTTTCCCTTTGGTATTTAGTGATACATTAGATGAGACTTAGAACTGGAATATTCTACGGTTTAATGCGATCGATCGTCCAGGTAACTTAAGAGGGAACGTCTAAAATTCATGAGCAGGTGTTTTAACATTTCACTGTGAGGGTTTGTTTCTTTACATTGTATTCATATTTTCATATGCTATTCATGTAGCATATATGTAGTGAGGTTCATTTCACAGGGCTATGTGATCATTTTATGTGCTGAGCTGGTCACTCGACATTCTGGATCATAGACTATTTAATTTTTGCCCTAGGAAATATATCCCAGTGATGGGATTTGGTGTAAAATAAATTGTAGAAAGAATAAGTTGTGGGTGCATTAGTATTGTGGTATATTGACAGTTTTGCATCTTATGATATTTTTCTTATTTTTCATTAGTAAAAATTTTTTATTAAAAGAATATATTTCAAAGTATTGTACAGTATATCCTGAAGGTTGTCCATACCATTACTCTTCAGCAGTTCTCATGTTCCTTCAGTTTTGGATATACTGTACATTATAATGTCACTATTTTGACTTGTCAATTCATTCTACTGGCTTGATTGCGGTGCCCATGTGTTAAGTCTTTTGTGATGGGAAATCACTTTTGGAAAAAGATTTTGGCATTAGTACAGACTTTTAGAGAACATGATATAACCCCTTTGTGAAGCAATTGAACTAATACTTCACCTGAAGGTTTTCTTAATAATACCTAAATTTTTATGAGAATTATTTTAAATGTGAAATTCTAAAATACTGTAGTGGTATTAAACTTTGAGGAGAATTTAACATCAAGGAGCTACATATAGTTATTTAAACATATTGGGTGTGTGTGACACATGGTAGACAGGCTTTACATGTTGATATTTCTATTAATTTCATAATATAGACTATAAAGAGGCAGTCTTTTATTTTTTGTTGTTTGGAATTAAATTTTTGTTAAGAAATAAAAGTAAAAGCCTATCCTTTAGATTTGTATGTATTTCAGTGAACATTAAAGAAGGTTTACAGATATGTAGGACCAATTACTGGTTTTTTTATATATTGGAATATTTCCAAACTTATATTGCTTAAAATATTAGAGTAAATACAGTCTTCATATCTTGAGTACTGTGTCCTTATCAATACAGATGTACCTGTAGATAATTTGTTTTACTCTTTTCTCCTATGTATAACTGTTGTGGAATCTAGAAACAATACAGTGATATCCCTGTTAGTTGGAACAATAACGGTGCAGAGCACTTCCAGGGATGAGACATTTCCGGTCAATCAGACATGTTTCTCAAACACGGAAAAATCCTACGTCTCCGGAAAGTTTTTGAGTGTCTAAACTATGCCCCTTGCACAGACAGAATGTTTCTGGGTGCTGGGGAGTGTTCCAATAGTCTAAGCTACCGGAGAATGTAAAAGCAGTTCTAATCAAGTTAGAAACTCCATTTCTTTTCTAGAATAATCCAGAATACCTTATCTAAAGGTTTGGTTAAATAAGTATATTTAAAAACTAAAAATCTATGTGATATGGCCATGAATGAAGCTGTGTTACAGCAAAGACTGGTATTTTCAACTCCCATGGAGCTGTGGGGGATTAGTGGGTCTCCTGTAACTGACCTGACCTAATGCAATATCAGGTGGGGGATTAATGGTCTCCCATTGTTGGATGGGGGATTAGTGGGTCTCATGACCTGAAGATGTCTTGAATAAAGACGAAGCTAAAGTACAGTATTTTTAAAGGAGATTGTGATAAGTCTAAGTATAAACGACGATGATGTATCCCTTCAACATTACATTACATAACATTTTAAAATATGGAGTCAGAAAGTATAAAGGTATGGATGATTAGAGAGATGGAGTGGAAAGGAGTTGTAACATGCCAGGCTCCTCAACAGCTGGTCTTTTAATTCGCCGCACACTTGTGCATTGGTTAACCACTCATAAATTTATGTCATACAATATGGGGTGGTGTTATGGTGTCCTGGGGGTGATGTTGGGGTATTAGTTGATGAATAATAAATAAGCAGTATTGTATCGTCAATGACAGTCGTTTGATGAACAGTAGCGTACTACAACCGTGGTAAAATTAACAAAATCGAACAACTTGTAGCGTAGTGTATGTGGCAAGTAGTCAAAGTTCTCTTTCTTTTGTGTCAATTTTCTCTTTCTTAGGCCCATGTACACAAAGGAGATCTTGCACTCGGGATGGAGGTGAGAAAGGAAACTCACAATAACGTTCTCTACATATATTGTATGTACAACCACGGACAAAATTCCTGAGACAAGGTTGTCTGGCTAGGTCAGTGAGGTGGCAACGTCGGGAACACACACATGAACAAAACACGGCAGAACTACCGGGGCGATAGTTTGACCAACGTGACGTATTATGAGGGGCAGGGCATAGCCAGGCTTGAGTCCTGGCTGACATGGGCGGTATTGTAGGACTTTCTTTCTTTCTTTCTTTCTAATTCTAAAGGAATGGGGGATTATAATGCACAATAGATTGTGACGAGAATATTTGAACTACACTTAGCATAATTCCATATACCTGTACAAGTATATTTTTAATTCTCCATATACTTCCACAGAGTGTTGGGTGTAGTGTCTACCGGCTAGTTAGGTAATTAAATACCTAAGTCCATCCAGGACCTTGAGAGTGTCCATCGAAAGTTTTAATGAATAAAGCAAGCTTAGACACATAAGTATTGTATCCAGCATAGAAGGCCAAGACGATGGCAGATGTATCTTCTACACTTCCCTCTGTGTGTTAATAATTAAGGTTTTTCTTTGGAAGCACTGATGGACAGGGTAGCAACACGGAACATAACAGCTCACACGGGCCGGCCCGTCTCTAAACACACCTTGCCCTCCCCCTTTTATCTCTCTAATTACATCTCCTTCTCTATGTCCTCTCACTGCTCTCTCACCTTCCACTCTCATCTCCCTTTTCTCACACTTTTCATATCCTACTAATATAATAATAATGGTTGCCCCTCGTGTAACAAGGATGGCCAGCCCAAGGGCCACCTAGGCGTGAATTTATTTAAGGTGTAGAAGCTGTTGCCAAGACGACAACCACACCCCAAGATAACGAGTTGCATGACCCAGTGTCAAGGAATAGTCCGAGAAGACCGGACAACTCGCCAAATGCACTGGCTAACCATTACCCCTGAATATGATCCGCAAATCGATTAACATCCAGGTCCCCAATTACTGCTGGGTAGACAGGCAAATGGCATAAAGAAACTTGCCCATAGTTTCACCCTGCCCGAGGATCGAACTCGGGTCAACTCACTTGCGAGGCAAGAATGCTGACCATTACACCCATGTCTCTCACCCACATTTACATATTCTCTTCCCCTCACATAACTTTTTCACTTCCTTCTATAACTTCCCTCACTTCCTTATTTACTCTTAAACCAGAAAAAATTGATAAAATTCGTTCATGACCAGGAAATGTTTAAAAGACATTTTCGATCTCATATTATACTTTCTCTACAACATTTGCGGAATTACTGTCATTTAAGCACAAAGTAACGTCTAACTCTTCCCAATCGTCACTTTCCCAACTGACCCTTTCCAGCCCTGTCCTTGCCACTAATAACCAGCCAAATATTATTGGGAACCTCCACTTACTTAGCAATTCTTAAATAGGATTAACTAGATTTATTTAGACAAGGAATATCATGAGTCATGTTTTAATTCTTGTGTTTGAGTGCATCTCACGAGGCAGCACTGCACAAGTGGCAACCAGAAGTAGGCTAAGGGAGGTCACGGAGCGTGCTGGTTAGAGGGGGGGGGGGTGGAGATAAGGTTAAGAACATAAGAATGGAGGAAACTGCAGCAGGCTTATTGGCCCATACTGGGCGGTCCCGTTTACACCCAACCCCGATCGCTCATAATCATATCCGTCCAACCTATGTTTGAAGCTATCCAGCGTATTCGAGTTAATGATGATGTTTGATAACTTTTTCCACTCATCCACTACTCTATTTCCAAACCAATGTTTACCTATTTTGCGCCTAAATCTAAATTTGTCTAATTTAAAGCCATTTTTACGAGTTCGCTCCTGGTTGGATAGTTTGAGTACCTTTATTATGTCACCTTTGTTTAGCCCTGACTTCCATTTATACACCTCGATCATTTCGCCCCTCACTCTACGTCTCTCGAGGGAATGCAAATTAAGATGTTTTAAACCGTCTCTGTACTCAAGGTCCCTAATGCCCGGGATTAGTCTTGTCATTCTCCTCTGAATTCTTTCTAGGAATTCTATATCCATTCTGTAATACGGTGACCAGAATTGAACTGCGTAATCTAAGTGAGGTCTCACAAGCACAAGATATAGTTTTAGGATGACCACGCTAGTCTTGTAACTAACACTCATTTGTATGAACCCAAGTACTTTGTTAGATTTGTTTTGAGCAAATACACATTGTTGACTTGTTTTAAGATTCCTACTTATCATTACTCCTAAATCTTTCTCGCGGTCGGATTTCTCTGTAACATCATTGTTCATCTGGTATCTGGTTTCTCTGTTAGCATCTCCACGGTTAAGTACTGTACTTTAAATTTATCCACATTGAATTTCATCTGCCATTTTTCAGACCATTCAAAAAATTTGTTTAGGTCTGTCTGTAGTTTTGCAGAGTCCTTCTAACTTTTCACAGTTTTTGACAAGTCTCTCTACAGGTTCAAGGCGTAGAGACATATTTCTTAACCTTCAGTTCTGGCATCATGATCCTAGAGGTATTCCCGTCACTCAGTTAGACACTCATCGTAGAGCTGTCCACTAAGAGTTACTCCCGTTCGACATACTACATCGGTCAGCCCCTCGGACTGACCGATCTCAGAGCAACATTCCCCTGTGGTAAAAAATGAATAAATAAAAAGCAAAAAGTCTTACTTTAAAGTCACCTGTGTGTATATTGTAATGGATTTCTCCCCTACAAACGCTGTTTGTCGCTGCGTAGCCGACCCCACGAATTCCACAGTGTGTGCCTCGTGGTCTACATCAACCAGCGCCGCCATACATCACGGAGCGGGGGTCAACTACTAAGCCACGCCTACCCCCTTGCTATTTAAGACCTGACCTCGTGGTGACCTGTCTCTCTACCTACACCAACCAGCCAGCAACACCACCTCCTCCGCCTGCCTGGCGGTCCTCGCTCCCGCCGGAGAGCATGGCGACCCACAAGCTGGTCCTCCTCTGAGCATCCTCACCAACCAGCTCTCTCTACATCACGCTTGTAACCATGCTGCCTTCCCAGTACCAAGCTGCATTGTACATCCAATACAACATGTATATAGAGAGCACATTGTGAGTTTCCTTTCTCCATCCCATCCTGAGTATGAACACAAACATTCCAAAAACCCCACAAATGGTGACTCCCGAAGATTCGCACTCACACAGGATGGAGGAGAAACTGATCACGCTCCCAATCTTCAAGCAACATGGAAGACTGGCTTATCCACACAGAAGCAGCTCTAATCGGCTCTACAACTACTGTCTCTACACCGCAGGTTAGACACCCTAGAGCAGCTCTGCTACTCTAAGCAGACAGTCGCTCCTCTTCCGACCCCAGCACACCCGTCCTGCCTCAGACGCCGACCCCGGCCCAGCAGTAACCCCTGCCGCCCCTGATGCGGCCCCTGCTCCTGACGCGGACCAACACACCCGTCCTGCCTCAGACACCGACTCTGGCCCAGCAGTACCCCCTGCCGCTTCTCCTGACGCGGCCCCTGTTCCTGAGTGCGGACCCACACACTCCTCTTTTCTCCCTCAGGTACTCCCTGCTAATGTCCTGCACCCTGCTGCTGTCATGGACCCAGCTGCTGTCACGAGCCCTTATCCGCTTCTGCTGACGCAGCCCCTGCTCCTGACCCAGGCCCACACACCCCAGCAGGCGCATCTGACGACTCTGTACCTGCCGTGAGGGAAGAACAAAATTCATCGCCTCCACACACCCTTTTTCTCCCTCTTTACTCCCACAGATATTGTGTATCTAGACAGTTGTGTCCAGCGACCGGCTCATCCACGCCATCGCCGTTGTCTCACATGAGGCATGCACCGCCCGTTCTGCCTCACATGTGCTATGCAACCCTGCAGACAACAAGTCTCCTACACCGCCTGGAGGGAAGGGGGAGTATTGTAGTGGATTTCTCCCCTACAAACGCTGTTTGTCGCTGCGTAGCCGACCCCACGAATTCCACAGTGTGTGCCTCGTGGTCTAGGTCAACCAGCGCCGCCATACATCACGGAGCGGGGGTCAACTACTAAGCCACGCCTACCCCCCGCTATTTAAGACCTGACCTCGTGGTGACCTGTCTCTTTCTACCTACACCAACCAGCCAGCAACACCTCCTCCTCCTCCGCCTGCCTGGCGGTCCTCGCTCCCGCCGGCGAGCATGGCGACCCACAAGCTGGTCCTCCTCTGAGCATCCTCACCAACCAGCTCTCTCTACATCACGCTTGTAACCATGCTGCCTTCCCAGCACCAAGCTGCATTGTACATCCAATACAACATGTATACAGAGAGCACGTTGTGAGTTTCCTTTCTCCATCCCATCCCGAGTGTGAACACAAACATCCCAAAAAACCCACAATATGATCCCCTGTTTGATGTAAGCATGTGTTGACAAAAAAATTTCCGTTCACAATACAGTACAAACAAAGGATCACCACACCACACGCACGCACACACACTCACATTGCCTGTATGAGTTTAAATACTCTTAACAAATCCATATACTTGCATACTTATGGGTTTTTAAATAATAACTGAGAATAGTAGTCACTATTATTTATGGTAGGCATGTGTGTGAGGGAGCCGGGACACCGTCATTATTCGTTTGGTTGTGACCCTTTAGGTTTCCTGCACAATAATGCTGCATAACGACACACACAGAAAGAGAGAGAAAGATTTTTGTGAGTGTGAGTACATTTGTGGTGGTGGTGAAAGGGGTCGTAAATACATGCTTTAACTACCGGCTGATAGTTTAATCATTAAGCTGCATTTGTATCCACTATCATGGAGGCAGCATAGAGTATTAATGTAAATCTATTCATGAAATACAACTCTTTTATTCCTTTATTTCATCCAGTATGCTAAAAATTAATGGTGTGTATTTACCAGTACGTAATCTTTATATACAGGTATTTTAAATTTCACAACTATATGACCTAGTAGTCATGATCGTAATTGTGAACCTTATGGTTCCTAATCATAAAGGCGATTCATGCCGTCTTGTCGAAAATAGGAGTCGTCTAGGAATATGGCAACCAAGTTATGGCTGGGAAATGTGCGAGGTGATGACGAGGCCAAAGAGCTATCGTTCAGTCACTCCTTTTCTGATCACCATGGATACTGTACAAATTTACATTTGGTGTATAGCCAGGGAGAGGAAGGATAGAGGACAACTCACTTCCAGCTCAGCTGCCTGCCATTCCTTTATAACAACAGCATGGAATTCAACATAATTCCCATATTACTGTATTTAGGTTCATTTGGTGCCGGGTTACTAAATCATTATGGAAAAATAATTAATTTTCCCCAAGAAATCCCACACTAAATCCCAGATGAGCTATTGCTCTGTAGTTAATTATCAGTCTTATTCACACTGCTTTCCTCAATACAGTAAAGTTGCCAGCACGCGCTGTTATTGTCACTCCTCAAGAGGTTTGGTAATTTACCACAGGGTCAGTTGATTTTCAGAGCATAATAAATATTATTGTAGAGTACATGTGTACTGCGCACATCATTGTCATCCCTACAAAACTCTTTCATTCATATTACGCTATATAACATTCAAATCCACCGCGCTTGTAGAATCTCAGAAAACGGGAAACGTTGATAAAGAATAACTCACCTACTGAATGTTACTGAATTATTTGATGAATTGTACCCAGGTACGGGTATATAATATTAAGTGTATGTACTCATAGCATTAAGGAGAACTCAAGGTATCTATAAGATGGTTGGGAGAGTCCAATCAGTATGGATTAGTGTACTATAAGGGCTAAATGTAAATCGCGTTTGAAGATCATTCTATTGACGTCTGTGAACAATTAGTGAACGTAGCTACCACGGGAACCGATGAAACTATAAAAGAAGATTGATTTGGAAAAAGGATAAATGTAACAGACCTAAGAGAAGTGTTGGAAGTGATCCAGAAACTATACTTCAAAGAAAATATCTTGTATGCATCGGTGTGAACTTAATACACCTCGTTATCTCCTGTGACATATACCCACGAATTATACAGTGATCAGGGTATCGTATGACTGTGTTCGACGAGTGCAATATGTGAGGGGAGGATCCCTAATTACCGTTTTAAGCGAAGTGGATATACCCACGCTATGAACATTCGACACGCAGCTTTTGTTTCAGAGTTAGCGTCACTTGTACCCGGATTACAGTTGTGAGTTAATGATATCGCCAAATTAATTTCCCCAGGAACTGTCAAACCTGAGCCGTACTGTCATGGTCACAATGACAGCTGGTCTGTTTGAAACCTGATGATTCATATTATACTCCACGCCCATAAAACATGTGGATAACTGGCGAGTTATCCCTATGAATAAAGTGCGAGGTGTTCGAAGCAACGGCAACAGCTGCGCTGACCCACAGGGCAGGGCCAGTCAACTTATTAGGAAATTGGTTGGGACTGCTAGTTTTGCCGAATTACCTTCGAGTGTGCAGGCCTCATTACAAAGTAAGAGCAGACTTAAGCGTGAGTTAGTACAAAATCAGTGTACACTGGAGGATGATACACGTGTTCCTAAAACGAGTAATACGTAATAAACTGACCTTAAACCTTGAGAAAACCCACTACACGATCTTTCACAGAAGGAAAAACTTACCCCCAGATTTGGACCCCCTGTACCTTGGTAATATAGTCCTCAAACGCGAACAAAATACTAAATTCCTCAGAGTTATTGTTGATGAGAAACTTAACTGGAGAAACCACATACAAGCTATTCACAGTAAAGTCAATAAACAGTGCCGTATCATGTATCACACTCGACAGTTACTCACTTTCACAGCAATGAAAGAAATCTATCATGATCTTGTTTACCAACACCTAATACACTGTCACACACTATGGGGGCCTCTGGCTCTTCAAAAACACAATCTCTGGTTACTACACAAAAAAGAGTTGTACTGTCATGATCGTGATGACGGCTAACCTGAAAACCTTAAGGATTCATATTACACTCAAACGTCCACAAAACCTTCCGAGTCCCCCAGTGGAAACGTCCCCCGTTTTCTCTGTTCCTGGGTGACGTCACCGATAGGCCGTCTTTGTCTTAAGAGAACTTTGAATATAATCCACGGATTTCGTAGCAGACGCTGTATGTTGGGACCTGTTGCCATCCAACCCTTTGTAATCAATTTAATTTTGCTTTTGATAGCTGAGTCAGAGCATTGTTAGTGAGGATAATAGTAGGGAATGAAACGGAGTTCATAGTCTCAGTTTCAACGTCAGAGTGTACAGTAAATTAATTCATCGAAATAGAAGTGGGTGGATTCCCTGGCCTATTTTGAGTGAAGGTGCCGCGGGCATTTCATCGGTCAGTAAGTGCTCGCCCCTTCATCCATACAGGTAGGCTATTCCACTGTGTTGTAATTCGCCCTTCTTTGAGTGATTTGACCCAATTAATAGTTGATTGTGCAAGTGTTACAGTAACGTAGTTGATATGCTCTGAGTGAAGTCATATTTACGTCTTTAACGTCCCCTGAAATGTGATGTCGTTGTCACGGTTAGTAAGTGCTCACCCCTTCACCCATATAGGTCCCTAACAGTGGCGGCTCGTGCATAGGGCTGCAGAGCTGCAGTCCCCCCAGACACTCACTGCCAGGCGTATGATTCCTTTAGAGAGACAGCTGAATAATACACTACCAACAAATATATCATTTTATATGTTATTTAATTATTTTCAATACGTTGCTAAGTGAATTTTCATTAAAATCAGACCAAAATTTAAGTTACTTTCATAGTTGCTGTCAATGCTGTACGATTCATGTCTGTTATTAATTGACGCCGCCGCCGCACAATGAGCTGCACTTGAAGCAGCTCAGTCTCGTACAACGTGTTTACATTGCGTGTGGACGGTGTGGTTAAATCGTGCTTTCTTTAATTACCCTTTGACGATGGAAAATCGAGTGAAGTATTTGCAAAACATCAACTTTTCCCAGCTGACATTAAATGAAAAGACTGAAATCAAAGCAAGAGGAAGACCTACACCAGTTTTATCCATTCAAGCAGGAACAAAGAATATACACGCCAGTTTAACATCAGTGTTTATCAGAAATGTGAATGGCTCTGTGGTTGTGACGAGGCAAATACTTTATTCTGCTTTCCATGCATATTGTTTGGTGGGGACTCGGCATGGACGAAAAGTGGTGTGACTGACTTGAGGCATTTGCCACAGAAAATAGTGAAACATGAGCAGTCAGCCAAACATATGAATAACATGATTAATTTATCGTTGCTGGGTAAAGTGAACATTGCAGCTCAGATTGACACAGCATACAAGCTCTCAGTTGCAAAACACAATGAACAGGTGAAAAAAACAGAGATATGTTATCCAAAATCATAAACTGTGTAAAATTTTGTGGAAAATTTGAACTCCCTCTTAGAGGACATGATGAAACAATGAGCTCTAAGAATCCGGGAGTATTTCGTGGATTAGTTGATTTTGCTTGTGAACTGGATTCTAGCTTAGATGCTCATTTAAAGACCGCTACAGTTTTTAAAGGAACATCTAAATCAATACAGAATGAACTTTTAGAATCTATGTTGGAAATTTGCAAAAATAAGATCAAGGAAGAAGTAAAGAATGCAGATTATTTGGCAGTTATGTGTGATGAGACAACGGATATTTACGATAAAACACAGATGGTAATTGTTCTAAGGTATGAGCTACAAGGGAAGCCTGTTGAGAGATTCTGGGGATTTTTTAACCCTATCAACCAGACAGCAGAAGCCTTATCAAGTGTGTTACATAAAGAGCTCCAGACTTTAATTGGTGATTGTCCACACAAGCTCATTGCCCAAACTTATGATGGTGCAGCTGCTCTAAGTGGAGTCAATAAAGGTGTGCAAACCAGAATAAAAGAAGTGTATATCAATGCCCACTTTATCCACTGTTATGCGCACCAACTGAACTTGATTTTGGGAAAGGCAACATCACAGAATACCAATGTTCGTGTATTTTTCAATAGCTTGTCAGGAATACCAGTATTTTTTTCTAAGTCTCCACAAAGAATGGCTGCATTGGAGAATGTTGCTGGTCATCGAATTCCAAGGCCATCTGCAACACGTTGGAATTTCAAGAGCAGAACAGTCAATGCTGTGCATGAAATGAAAGATGCACTGATTGAATGTTGCAGCACACTGGAAGCATCTAACTCAAGAGAAACTGGATCTGCAGCAGCTGGTATCAAAAGAATTGTGAATGATCCTGAATTCGAATTTTGGTTGGAATTTTTCTCCAAAGTAATGCCTCATGTTGACATCATGTTCTCTCAGCTTCAGTCTAGAAATATTGATGCAGCTAAGGCTAACGCCTCTTTAAAAGTTTTTAATTCCGCAGTTCAGAAGTTAAGAGACGAATGTGATGCGATGATGTTGCTGTTGCCTCCTGAGCAGAAAAGAAGAAAATTTAAAACAGACAAATTAGCTGCTGCAAAGGAGGTCTGTGACGTAATTTTGCTGCAGTGCAGAGAGAGATTCAGCTTTACTAATCATTTGAAAGCAAGCAAGTTACTTTTAGTGAATAATTTTCCAGTGTATGCCAAAAATTTCCCTAGTAATGAACTTGAACAAGCAGTTGCAGCATATCCCATGCTTGAAAAAGACAAATTGAGAACTGAACTTACTGTACTGTACACAAGAGAAGATTTGTGTAAATCAGAAAGTCTCATAGACTTGTTGGAGATGATGAATGACAATAATCTACAGTCAACATTTTCAGACACTGTCAAGTTGCTGAAAATTTTAATAACAACTCCAATGACAACGGCAGAAGCAGAAAGGTGCTTTTCAACTTTGAAGAGAATTAAAACTTTTTTGCGCAGTACCATGGTGAATGACAGACTGTCTGCTTTAGCAGTGATATCCATTGAAAATAAAATGATAACAGAAATAAAGGATTTTAATGAAATAGTAATAAACAATTTTGCTACATCGAAGAGCAGACACGCCGACTTTATTTTCAATTAATACTGGTCCATCACCACCTCGGCCATCCCTTCTACCACCAACACTACTACCATGCCCTGGGAATTCGTGGACATCAACTACAACTCATACCTGAGGTAGGTCAAATTTGTGTATCCTACTGTTGTGTGAGGCTTGCAGTCCCTCCATTTTATTTTTCACGAGCCGCCACTGGTCCCTAACGCAGCCTAGGCCGTGTCTGTAGGGTGGATGTTGTATCCACTATGTTTGGGGAGATGTCCGAGGTCCGGTAGGATCAGTTACCTTCGTGAGACCCGGCCGTCAGACACTTCAGACTACCTGTGGCCCCCATAGCTGGCTCGTCTGGCCCTAACGCTAGGCCTGCGAGGTGACCCCGGATCACCAAGCCACACACCACTACCAGCCCCCATCATTGGTGGATGAGTGTCTAACTCAGTAGGGCTATTTGTGTGGTGGGGTTAATCCACTGGGATCTTCAGAGTTCGTCGGAAAGTACCCCATGGTGGCAGGACCCATGGAGGTTGCTTGAGTATCACCCCTGACGACTGAGTGTTGTAGTGGCTGTTGCCCCTGGTCTTTATGGTGCTAAGTGACGATAAGAGTTATGTGTTATTGAGTATGTCCACCCAGTAGGGTTGGGAGTGTTATTGAGTATGTCCACCCAGTAGTGGTGTGAGTATGTTGAGCCTGAGGGCCTAGTACTAGATTTCGTCTGTTGGTACATATAAATTCTTTCTCCTAATTCCATATTAATGTTTAAATAAATTTTGTATTTGTATAATTGTGTCTATTATTTACCTACAGTATTTACCGTTATTTCTTCCCTATTACTTGATACTATCATTACACACCCACGAGCCTCCTCTCGTCACGCTACCAATGGTAATAACTTAAGTATGAGGGTAAAAGGAATTGTTACTGACACACCGGCCCTCATAAAATGGTGGCAGCCCAGGCCCTCATAAAATGGTGGCAACCCAGGCCCTCATAAAATGGTGGCAACCCAGGCCCTCATAAAATGGTGGCAACCCAGGCCCTCATAAAATGGTGGCAGCTCAGGCCTTCATAGTACGGACAATGACCTACTTGAAAAAACAGATCACACAAACGAAAAATTTGCTTTAATGAAAATTTTAAAATTCGAAGATATTAACACCTACTGCTGTGCTCTTTGTTTACAAATCTATCAATCATTTGCTTTACAATAATTTCCAGTTCCGGAATAATCAGAGATACAACTTAAGGCACCCAGAGCTACTAAGAACCCCCATGCTCTTCTCTCAGTCCCAGACCTCCATAAAATATCACGGTGTTAAGGTATGGAACAACTTACCCCCACCCACCCCAGCAAAGACTATGCTCCCTTCCTTTAAATCAAATCTTAAAAAATATCTATTGTCTAAGTATTAATATTTCTTGTAACACCTACTTTATTTACAGTACCTGCTTTTATTGTACCATCAAAACCGTTTTATCGGAAATTATCATGTAAATAGATAAGTAATTACCATTGCAATAAACATAATTGCCAACTAGACATAGTCCTGACAGCTCTGACCTCTTGTTCAACCTTATTACTGTACAACCCAGGTTGTACTGCTCCCCCATTATACCTATGTTTTCCAATTCCGCTGTAATTTATGTATATATATAAAAAAAAAAAAATGAATTAATTAAATATTGAAGTAATAACCGTGGTAACATTATGAGATGTTCTTATCACACTACATCCTTGACCACTGAAGGGTCAAGAGGAAACCTGGCGCTCCTCTGGGCGCAGCCAGGTCAACTGCTGTGTTGGCCCATACCAACTCCCTCCCCTGAACCCTCCTCCCCACCGGAATATCAACAAGTTCTCGCCAGAAGTTTAACTTCATTGGGAAGGAATGGAACCAGTGTTGAACAGTGGTGAATAGTGCTCAAGTCAGTGGGAACAAATCAACAGTATCAGCCGAGTTGTACCCAAGTTAACCTTCACACAGTAAGGTCCTAGGTACCCAGTGATAACTGCCCGTGAGACCCAACAACCAGCGATGTGTTAATCCGTCTACGATAGGAAGGCCTGGGACCACACCTCACTCATATAACACCATCTGTGAAATTACTACGTCAGGTCCCTCATAACACCATCTGTGAGAGGTACTACTACGTCAGGCCCTCATAACACCATCTGCAGGTAATTACTAAACCACATGAGGGTCCTCATAACACTATCTGTGAAATTACTACTCAAGTGGGGTCCTCATTACACCATCTGTGAGGGAATTACTACACCACGTGATGCCCCCTCATAATACCATCTGTGAGGGAATTACTACACCACGTGAGGTCCCTCATAACACCATCTGTGTGGGAATTACTACACCACGTCAGGTCCATCATAACCATCTGTGAGGGTACTACTACACCACGTGAAGTCCCTCCTAACACCATCTGGGAGGGAGTTACTACACTACGTGTTTGGTGTTCAACACCTACATTAATCTGTATGTTCCTTTACCTTTCTGTAATGAAGGCTTTTCTTAAACCACCAATGTACGTAATAAGTCATTTATGTCCAATGTATATTTTCAACCTTCGGGCTGCAGAACTTTTTCAATAAACCGTTATAATAATAATTTTTATTACCACCATGCTATTGTACTATTCCAGATGATACTAAATGTTACATAATACTTCCTTAAGATAAATGTATAGTATATATCAGGTGCCTAAAAGAGAGCTCAGGTTCTCAACTGGCTCAGCCATGTTAATATTGTTATTATTATCCACTCTGTATCTGTGTTTCTCTGGCTAAATAAACCGTTTCAATTCAATTCAATTAAAAAGGGGAAGTCTACAGCACCCGGTGATGGAATAACAACATATGATATCCTTAACTGTCTGGCTGGTATTAGGGAAGGGCCTCTGTTAGACTTGTTTAATATGTCATATAATGGAAGTTGCATCTCTTTAAGTGAATGAAAGCAGTAATTTTACTAATACCAAAGAACAATGGAGATTTTCGTCCCATATCCTTAACCTCTTGTTTTAGCAAAATGATGGAAAGAACAGCATTAAACAGGTTGTTGTATGAAGTGGAAAATCTCTTGCCGCCCAATGGACATGGATTTATGAAAGAGAAGTGCTGCAGACTGTGTTGTAAAGTGTTTGAATAACTCCAAGGCTACATTTAAAGAGCGCTTTGATGGGGCAAATAAAGGAGTCATACTTGAACTAATTAATTTAGGGGTTTCTGGGAAGTTTCTGAAATGGATTGTAGATTACTTTAGTAACAGAATGGCTAGACTCTAGAGTATGGTTTCAGGGTTGGTACTCAGAAGAAAGAGAGATGGAGTTGGGGGACTCCACAAGGAGGTGTACTTAGCCCCACTCTTTTTAACATATTGATGAACATAATGGCTCGCTACGAACTTCCTGATGGCACCCCTGGTATGGGAAACATGCAAGAAGCTTTAGATGCATTGAGTACATTTTGTTGCAGAATGGGCCTTGTAATCAAAATATATATAAATAAATATCAGGTAAGAAATTATGAGGAAGGGGGATTTATTTTCGTCGGGATTAAAGCTAGAAAAAGTTGATGTTTACAAATACCTTGGGATGTACACTGTAAAGGCCTGGGACTTAGGGATAGAAATCCCTTACCAGGCTAATCAGGATCTTAATAAAGGAAAGTCAAGGACCATGGTTTTCTGAGGAATAACAAACAACCGTTTGAGATCGGCATCTCTTTACTTTAAAAATATAACACAAAACTCTAACACCACTCAACAAACCTCAAATAATTGGAGTCAAACAAATAAGGCAGTCAACAGTTAATGGAGTCAAACAATTAAAGGAAGCAAACAATTAAAGGAATCAAACAAATAATGGTCAGCAATTAATGGAATCAAACAATTATAGAATCAAACAATGAACAAATATTTCCCTACGGCAGTGGCCTGAAGGTTCTGGGGTGATCACTCAGGGTGGGAAGCGTCCATTCAACTCCACACTCGACGACGTCTTGAAATGGCAGGGAAACGCCGACGGAATGTGAGATGAACTGACGGTCGTGGTATGCGGTAGTGGTAGATGACCAGTTGGCAGTTGATAGGTGAAGGTCTGGGAACACAGCCCACGAGTCCAGGACCTATGATGAGATCACAGCCAGAATTTGATGGACAGCAGGGTAACTAGATACTGACTGTATGACAGCTGGGTTGAATCTGCCGGTGACGCAGATAGTCGCTGCCGTTCTCTCAACCACCCCAAGTGTCGTCTGCACCAGCAAACGAGCGAGTTAGCAGCGGTAACCAGCGGGAGGATCGCTTCTGCCCTTACATACACTATCTGTGCACTTTGTGGTAAACAATATGAGACCATGGACGATAAATTTTGGTATATGAGGGCTGTCACTAGTGACACGTAAAATTTCGAACATATCGACCCCCACCTGCACAGATAGTTGTTTTACCTACTGTACATTGGGTAGCCAACAGTAAGTTACTTGAGATGCAATACCTTGAGAATATATGTAAAATTACGTTTAAGACATTTAAGAGCATTGGCATGGAAAGGAAATGGCGCAGGTATTCCTATTTTAAGGATGGCTTATATCAGTACTATACGTTCAGTAATTGACTATGCAGCTCCCATCCTTATAATGTATAGTAAGAAAGT